CTAGGTTCGAGAGTTTAGGTACAAAAGGGGAAGGTCAGAGCTTAGGTGCAAAAGGGGAAGGCCATTTACATGGAAGCACTCACTTTTGCTCAATTCGAAGATTGGCCTCTACTCACTTTCTATTTTATGATTTTAGTGGTTAATTATTTCACACAAACCTCATTTTTAGACCTAAAACCTTTAACTAACCTAGGATTATGTGATTTGAAGAAAAATGAGTATAATTTATTTTAGATTAAGAGAATAAAGCCATATTTTTCAAAAAACGATGATTTTTAATAAGAAGTGGATTTTAATAATCCATGGCCATAAACTCAATCAAAAATTAACAATGTTCATAAAATATTCAAAAAAAACAACTTTGCATAGAAAGATCATCTAATTTGCATAATTGAAAGGCAATACAATAACAAGCACATGTGAAGGAGATTGAGAAAAATTATCCAGATGTCCACTTACGCATCTTACATGCATGCATAAAATAAATATGACCTAATCATATAACTAACATACAAAAAATGAACCTAGACCCGGTTTGAGGCTACTAATGATGATAATATAATACAACTAACAAGCAAAAAGTATAAATATAAACTAAACTACATGATGATCCAAACCAGGCCTAACACATGATTTCTACATGATTAAATGAACCTAAGCATGTCGTTCTAACAAGAATAAAGAAGACATGCAAGAGGAGGTGAAAAAGTGAATAAAATAAATAAACTATATGATGAGAGGATGAACTAATATTCTAACACGCTTTGAATATTGAAATAAGAGACTAAAAGGTATAGAAATACAAGAAATACAGAAGTTTTACCTACTGGTTCATATAAACCGAAGGCACGCAATGAAAATAGCAAGAAAGCAAAGGTTTTCTTGCTTGCAAGCCTCCCTCAACCTTTGGTTATGACTTAGTTTGAGTTTTTCAGTCCTTAGAATGATTTGCAGAAGCATAGAGAATGTGTGGCTAAGGCAAATAGGAGAAGAAAAAGTGGTATTTACCTCTCTAGTGTTCTCAAAATGCCTCAAGTTCTTAACCCCTTGAAAGGGAGAGGGAGACGGAGAGGCTCTTTTTTATAGGAAGAGGATAAGGTTCTGGAGCCTCTTCCAGGGTTCCATCGCTTTCTCCTTCCGCCTTTCACAAAAAATGCACCAAGATTGAGTTTCCAAAACTAACTTTGTCAGGCTTGGATGTGCGCACGTACCATTCTTGTGTGCACGCACAAGGCATGTACACATGCACCCTTTGCCATGGTACACGTGTTATCCCTGCATGCATTCCATGATCTTGGCTTGCTTATGGACCAAGTTCGTATTGCCTCTTTATCCATGTTTTTGATAAAACTGGTCATTAATTTTGGAAAATACGTTTCATCAGAGCACAATCGAGCTTCTTTCTCCTTCTTGGAGTTAAAAAGTTAGTTTCCAATTAAAAAAGGGTTTAGGGATAAAATGGTCATTTTTACAAAAAGTTGATTTTTTAGCCAAAACGGGTTTATACAACAACTCTAGACATCCTTAAACATTCTAAAGATGAAGTAAATACCATTTTATCGTTGGGAGGCTTGCAAATGCCCGAAGTCTTAGGGTCAGTCAAAATGGGGTGTCTACAAGTATTGTGATTGTATTTAGTTATCACCGAAAAAGTCTTTCGTTATGCTTCAAAACACTACAACAAAAGTAACTTATGGTGATGAAAAGTAGTGAAGAAAATAAATTTTGTCACTGAATAAGAATAATTCGTAACGAATTATAAAATTTTGTCACAAATAATAACAAAATAAAAATAATAGGTGATGAAATTTATTTTTGTCAATAAATATTTCTTTTTAGGTGAGAAAAAATTAAATTTCGTCACTGAAGGTTTTTCCACTATTATTTTAGGTGGTGCCAAAATTTTAAGACTTTTGGTGACAAAAAATTTGTCACAAATTATAAAACTATTAGTGAGAAATATATTTTCGTCACCAATAATTAAAAATATATTTTTTTTGAAAAACTTGATTTTAAATATTTTGAGACCGTTTGGTGAGGAATATATTTTCATCGCCAATAATGTTTAATCTTTTGAGACTTTTGGTGAGGAAATTATTTTGTCATCAATTTTGGAGGGCGAATTTTGAGAAATCAGTGTGTTTGGTTTGAGTTTTTTGGATTAAATTTTTTGAAAATTGAGTTTTTTAGTTTTCGTATTTTTTTTTGTTTTTAGTGAATATTTGTTACTGATTTCTCATTTTTTGGCATTTGGTATAATGGAAAACTTTTTCATGGTCAAAGGAAAATATTTTTCACTTTTAAAAGGTAAAAATATTTTCCGAATTAAAGTTTTACCAATGCCTTCACATTACCGTCACTTACCACTACGACCACGACTACCATCACTGTCGTCTCGGCTACTGTCATCGCTGCTACCACGACTTCATCACTACCATCATCACCACCACCATCACTACCGCCACACCACTATTGTTGAAGTGGCTCGGGTCAAGACCCAACCCTTTTTGCATTTTTGGTTGGAAAAAGAGGCTGTTCCGGTTGACTTTAACCTTACCTTGTTGAGTTTAGACTTTGGAATGCTTTGGGCTAGCTTCGGAATAGCAACTCAACAGTTCTGACCTTACCTGTTTGCACCCGCAAACATTGTTATTGCCCCCGTGATTTGAGGGTGGTGCTCGTAATGGGCCACGACCAAAAACCACCTTTAGGTCTGTTGTCCTCGAGCAGTTGCGTTGCTTGCGATGGATCGCGATGAATGGCAGCGACTAGTATGCTCATGCTCGCAAATGTGTGGACCACGGCTGTGATTTTGTGACTCATGCCCACGAAGTGTTAGACCACACCCGCAATGGTGTTTCTATATAAGACTATGTGTGTCAAAAAGTGACTTTTTTAGATCTTTTCTCTCATCTGTCTCTTGGTCGCCATTTTTGTTTTTTTTTTTAGTAAAAAAAAAAAAAAAAAAAAAACACACAAGTTCCCAAGCACGGCCAAAAAAGCCAAGCTAAAAAAGTTTCAATACAAAAAAAGTTGATTAGGGATTGTCTGGGATGATCTAAATAAGTGTACTTTTTGTCTTTTTACGAAAAGATGTGCAGAAAAATAGAGAGATGATGTGATGAAAAAAAGATAAAAAGATGAATTATTTATAGGATGCCAAACTTATTTATTATGTTATAAATCATAAACAGGACCACAACAGAGGATACGATGAGTCAATAGAAACCAAACTTTGACTAAATTTTCTTTTAGCTATTTGGAATCAAGTAGGAAGGGCAATGGCCAATTGTCCTTCGTAAACTACGCAACTAGTATTGCAATTGATAGAGTAACCTTCTATCACTAGCTGTCGAGATCTAATTCTATTGAAGAGAGTAATGTTATATAAACAAAAAAATTTATATATAATTTTTATTCAAAACAAAATATTATTAAATATGAATTTATTTATAATAATGATAATGTTACATCATTCTTGTGAAATTTTTTCTATAAATTTTATATATCTATAAAGTTTTCTATGCAGAATTCCAAAATGTCAAAAAGCGAAGAGAACCTATATCATTGCCAAACACTTGTTATGCAGAGGTTATTGTGTGCGCGTATACATATATATATATATATATATATATATGTGCATGATAACAATTGAGTTACTCAAACTTCCATCATTTTTCTCTGGTATGACTATAGCTCTACATGTCACCATCGTCAATGGAAAAAGAGAAAATATCAATGTGGACAATGCAGCACTGTCAATCCATGACTAGCTACCATGATAAAATATGTACATATATATTTTCAAAAGTGGAGGATCTGAAATTCAACTTGAGCAGACTTAGAGGCAACAACAACAACAACAACAACAATTCTATAAATGCACTGTTTGAAATGCAATCGAACTGATGATCTTTTTCTACATCTTCTTGCAATTACGCAGCAATCAGTGGCCATTCCCAGGACCAAATTTAGTTTTGCTGCCAAACCTTGATAAAGTCCATGCGTGTTACGTGCATGCTGCAATCAAAACATTATTATCAGATGAAATCTTGCTGAAACCTCATATAAATGAAGAATCTGAGGCTATTGCCAAAAAAAATAAGGGGCCAAAGTAACAATTTGACTAGCAAATGTTGGGCAAGTGTCAAAATTCTCAACTCAGTTGCCTTGATGAAGCCTATATCAAATTGGTTTCTCAACGAAACATTCTAATTTCACACTGAAGCTCCTTTATCCAAAAGCAAACTGAAAAGTGTAATGTTATAGGAATAAATAAACTATATCTATATAATTTTTGTATAGAATGATGTGAGGGAATTAGGACCCTTCATTATAAAACAAAACACCTATCAATGACTCTTAATCACAAAAAATGTTATCACCGCATTATTATGGTGGGATTTTTCTATATAATTTTTTGGATAAATTACAAATACATCCGTAAAGTTTGTTTAAAATATAGATTATTTTCTGTCATTTGAAAAATTACAAATACCCCCTTATTAGAATTTTTTATTTAACATAATTAATTAAAAAAAATTTTAATTGCTCTCCTATACAATAATAAAATTACCTAAATTATTAATTGAAACATATTTTTAATATCATTAAAAACTATTAATTGAATTGATAATTTATTAATTAAAGGGGCGATGTATTATGAAATTAGAAATCTCAAAAAGTAGAATGTAATTTTTAAAATTATAAGAGATAATTTATATTTTAATCAAATTTCAAAAAGAGTGTATTTGTAATTTTTTTTTTTAATATTCATATGGTATGGTATGGATCAGGATGGGTACCCACCCATATCCCTTATTGTTTATGTTTAGAACTAGGGTTCTCTTCTCATTCCCACGGTGAGCCTAAGCATTTTTCATTCCAGCATCACTCTGATCTTCTGACTCCAGCATCGGCGATTAGCGAAGGCAACGATTTGGCTTGGTGTGGTGTCGTGTTTGTGTCACCCATGGCGTTATCTGTGACTGCGACCTTGCGTTGCCCATCTTTCTGCTAGGGTCTGTTGAAGAACTCAAGGTCTCTTCCTCAAGCTCCAACTTCGATTTCTTTCCGATCTTCTCCTGCATATCTCAGCCGCACAAAGCCCTTGTCAATTCGATCTGCTTCAATCGAAGGTAATGCACCCCTCTCTCTCTCTCTCTCTCTATATATATATATATATATTACAAACTCGATTTTAATAAATATGAAATCTTTCTGCTAATTGAATGAATCAAAATATAGATTCATATATTGAATTTGTATTTGTCTTTGGGCTAAGGAAAATTGTATATTTTTAGTTGAATTTGTATTTGTATTTGGGCTAAGGAAAATTGTATTCTGCTAATTGAAAAGTGTATTTTTTTAACCTTCCACGTTCTTTCATATATATATTTTTTCAATTAATAAAAACTTATTTGATTGTCTCAAAATTATATTTTTGATTATTTTAAAACAAACTTTTTAATTAATTAATGTATTGATTTTGTTATTGAGCCAAATAAAATAAAATGTATATTTAGCTTTAGTTATGAACCTTAGGGATGGGAAGGGGAATGGGGAATGGATAAAAATTATTATAGGGGAATGGGGAATGGATAAAAATTATTATCCACCCCATTGCCTTTCATTGCCATCGCTAGTGATTCACGTGGACCCGATCCACCCGTTGTATAATATATATAAATATTTATTTTTGGAAGCAGCTCCTCTCTAGTAACTAGAGGGAGCTATTTCGCTCTTGTGGGCCTTGATTTGGGTTCATGTTGATAATTCGAAACGTTTAATGTATAGAACCCGTCAAATACATCATTTATGTAAAAAAATCATATTGATCGGATATCGATAATCTCTTGATCAAATCACATTTTCAAAGTAAGTTTTAAATAAATTTTTCAAAATAAATTGTGACAGAAATGTGATCGGATCAAGTTGTTATCAAAATCTGATCAACGTGATTTTTTACAGAAATGATGTACTTGACAAGTTTTACACATTGAACAATTTAAATTATCGATATGAGCCCAAATCAAAGCCCATCAACACTGAACAGCTCCCTCCAGTTACTGGAGAGGAGCTGGGTCCTTATTTTTTATTGTTTTGCATGACCACAAAACCGGAGGCGGGATGGGTGCTGTGAGGTCGTTGAGAGCATTGGTGTTGTGCCCCTACATGACATAGTTTAACGGATATTTTCAAACTCCTCATCAGGTCTATGTTCTTAGGCCAACTACATTGCATTTGGCTTATGCTAACTTCCGTTTGTTGTCCATCACGATTGCCAAGTCCATTTTATGCCATAAATTTTGTGATTATTATATGGAAAAAAATATTAATACAAAATGTATACACAATTTTTTTGACAAAAATGATGTAATTGTGACAATTTTGAAAATATAAATCTTCTTGATGAATTTTTTGTTTTTAAATGACAAAATCCAAGTGTTACAAAATTGTGTATTCGTTTTGGGTAATGCTATATATGTAAGTTAAGACATTTGTAATGTTACTCATCATAAATGTTATAATAAAATCCTATTCAGTCATAACTTTAAATATATATATATATATATATATATTTATAACCAAACGTGACATGAGGCATAAGTGAAGATCTTTTGGATCACCACTAAAATAATGTCATAACTAATATCATAATAGGTTATCACCAAAAATTATAAAAGTTGTAACTGGGGCATATGATACATACATTTTTAAGGGGTGCACCATATAATTCTCCATTGATTTTATGCACAATTTTTATATTTCTATATCATTACTCTTATCATATATATATATATATATGTACATATGCATAATCGAATATAGTTGTGCCACATACCTAAAAACATTATCTAAAAATTAAATATATAAAGAAAATTTATTTTACATATAACTCACAACATTCTAACTTTAAATCTACACCTTACGTTTTCCTTTTAGGATAAATTTTGATTACGTTTTACTTCCATTAGGATTGAGTTGAGGGGCTTGTGGGCCTTAATAGTAATCTCATTTTAATGATCTAAACCACTAATTTTTAAGGCATTTCATGTATTTCAACTATAAAAAATTACATTTATCTAATAATTGTAACATTTTTATTTTATGGTATTTGTGTCCAAAAAAATAAATGATTTATTTTTAATACATGCTTCTTGTTCATTTTTTTAGAGAAACACAATAAATAAAATCGTTATAATTATTAAATCGATTTAATCTTTTTCATAATTCTAAAAAATGAATGATTAATAAACCCCACAAACTCCTCAAGTTGAACTTGTGAAAATTAATCTATACCCAACTATCTAATTACATTTATTTGAAGAAATTAAAACATGAAATGGAGTTGGCATTGATAATTGGCAGAAAATGGAAGTTAGTATATTTGTTTAAATAAGGAGAAACAACGAGTTGGAAAATATTCGTATTTGACATCATCTAGGGGCACAACACCAATGCTGTCAATCGCCTCTCAGCACCCATGCTGTCAATTGCCTTACAGCACCCAACCCTCTCCCTGACGAAACCCTACTCCCGCTCATCCTCTCTCTCTCTCTCTCTCTCTCTCTCTCTCAACAACACGATCGGCGGCGAGATTGTTCGACGGTACGCCTCTTATCCTCTTCTCTTGTGGTTTCATTCATGATTCTCTCTTCTTCAACACGAATTCCTTCCGGGAAAAGTGATTGAAATAGAAACTTCTCTTCTTTTTTTTCACGATTTCTTTCATTTCGAAGATCCAAACATAAGATCTATTGACTTTTTTTTTTGTTGTTGTGTTCTGTTGTTTTATTGGGTGCATTGTTGATATTTATCTTAGCAAATGCCAATAAAGCCCCACATATAATTATGTGACTTAGCTTCTACCCACTTTTCACAAGCCCTGATCTTATTTCAGAGTCTAGCATTCTGGAAGAGACATGAAAAAAATATCATAGTATTTAGCTTGTATCAGCAAATTGAGGGGTTTTGGAAAATGAATTGGAATTGTTTTTAATTTTATATTTTGAAGGAATTAAAGAAACAAAATTGCTTCATAGCTCGAAAGGATTGGCTCAAAAATGGCCCGAAAAGCACTTTTTTCTCTCTCCTTCCTGTCTCTTTGCTCTGCTGTCCTTTCCTTGCCTCTTCTACCATCTATAAGCGATACAAAAAACACTGTTGGCTATCTCAGTTTTGAGTTCACGGCAGCCTCAGCTGGAACCCTCTTACTTCATGTTGAGGATAAAAACCAAAGCTTGAATGGCTCTCCTCTGCCATTCAAGGTGAATCCAGGTTATTACTTGGAATCTTATATATGATATGTATTGCAAGACACTGAAGTTAATAAGATGAATATATTAATATCACGCTCAATATTAATTTGCAGTGTGAGGACATGAAATTTTCTTTTCTGTTTGATTGCAGTATAATTTAATTAATTAAATGTATAGGTTTAACTTTTCCTTTGCATGCTATTTTCCAGTGATGTAGTTTCATGTGTAGTCTACTTCTTTTCTACTGTTCTTTACCAGGGACACTTGTTCTATTCAAACAAGGGAAAAAAAAATTCATGAGTTGTATTCTGTTTCTCATGTTATACATTGCTGGAAGACCGATAATGTAAATAATTTGGATCCCATTTCATGAAATTATTTTGGCTGTGGAGTCGTTGAAATCTGTAAATCGCTCTCTGGCCGTCGTTCGTCCTCCTTCGTCATGGTTCATTCTCCTTCGTCGTCGTTCGTCCTCCTTCCCGCGATCAATGACCGATCGAAAGGTTTCACAGAGATGAGAGGGATGAGAGAGATCTAGGGAATGAGAGGGATGAGGGAACACAGATGTGGGGAATGAGAGGGATGACCCGTTGGCACACATAGAAGCAACAGCAGCCTCGTCGGCGGCACACAGGTCGACTCCTCTCTCTACTCTGAACAGGGCTACCAATCGCTAATGGGTCTCCTCTCTCTCACTCTCTCTACTTTGTTCTCTTGGTTTTTTATTTTTTTTATCTGAAATGAAATGTAAGAGTGAAAACAGAGATGAGCTGTACAAATAAACGAGGAGTGTACAAAGAACTCGGGCCATTCGAGCCGCATGATTTTCGAGCTACCAATTGCTATTGTTAAAGAAAGTGGAAAAATCAATACAATAATTGTGTTTCTTAGATAAGCTATACCAAAATCTATCTATGAAGATTAGTTAGGCTTTGTTATTTACATTGCGCATTGGGCACTTTATAATTGTATCAAATAAATGATCCAAAGGTTACACAAGGGTGGTAGATCGATATGGGTGTTTGATTCAGGAACTTTTGAGTGTACTAGGCTATACATGCCCCACCTATTTTACACAAGATGAATTTGAAAAGTGGACCCATGCCCCAATATTCTCTCAAAACCCTCCTTAAATGGTACTTCAATATCTGTTCTTTATTATGTAAGGGGTTCTAGTTCTTATTTTTTACATTCACCGATTTCACATGCCCCAAATTTCTAGCCCAAATAATAATACAACAATCATGACTCTTTCAAGAAAAACCGAATATAAATCTCTAAACTTACATTACATGATACAATAGTTCTTCATGTAACAATACATTAATCCAACAAGAAGTAAATAAACAAATAAATACCTTCAAGGGTTTACAAGTTTCCAAGGCTTAAGCCCGGTTACACAAAACGGTTATTCAAACCCACACAAATACAGCTCTTGGCATACAAAACAGAGTCACGCGAAATGAGAGCATTGTACTCCCAACACACACTTCCACGCCCCTAGTTTGGTGGAATCATCACATCTTTTCCTGCACAAAAATCCTGTAAGGTGAGTATAAAGCCCAGTAGAAAATTCTTAACAAAGTATATACATTTTATACATGTCTCAAGAGATGAAATGCACATGCCATGCTATGCTCTTTTTTAAGATAAATCACATTTTCATCTTTTGAAAACCATCATGCTCAATGATGTCATGCAATTTCAATTGTTCAAAACTTAACAATTTATTTCGAGGGCAGTAAATACGACTCTGATAATCTCTAGGTTGGTGTCTGCAAGTAGACTATACGAGTATTATCAAATTGTCATTTTAACCAGTATTAACCGGAAGGCTCGACACCTATCCGCGCGGGTTTTCGGTGTTTCACCCCGGACCCTCAGGCCAACTTATTCAATATCATCTACACCACCTATGAAGACTTATCAACATATTTACTCCAAAACTATTTCATGAAAACTTATTTCTCAACATGCTTTTCTCAATATAAGTTTTCAAATCAACCTTCAAAATTTAATGGAATAAAATGAAATGGTATGTCAATTTCACAAGATGAACATAAATACTTCTATTCCAATTCATCATCCAAGGAATAACACAATTTCCTCTTCTCAAGTATTCTCAACAATTTAGTCATTTCAAGACTATATCAACATTCTGAATAACCATTTCTAAAATGAACAACAATTCTCATAATCCACGAAATTAATCATTTTTACAAATATAAAGAAGAAAATTTTCAAACATAATTTATTTTGGCACAAAATTAATATAACAATATTATTTATAGATTTTCAATCTCTTTTAAAATTCCCAATTTTTAGGTTTTCTCACCAAAACTACATAGCCCAAATCTTTTGAAAGAAAACTTTCGAAAGTCATCTTTTCTTCAATCAACAAAAATCAAAACCCATAAGATTATTTTAAAAGAATAAGAGACAAGCCCACTTTTAAAATCGCTCTACTTCTTGAATCAACAATCAATTTTTCAGAAGCTATCAAAGGATGATTTCGAAAATCATCTACATCTTGCAAAAATATATATATAACTCAAAGAAAATCCCTACCTCAAGTTTTGAAGAAAAAATGAGATGAAACTCTCAAAATCAACGGTGTCGAAACTCGATCTTCACCGCACAGAATGAAGCCCTTGAGGAGTTAACCAACTTTAATGAAGAACTTAGGTCCAAATCCCAAAGGATTTGAAGAAATCAAAGATCTTGTGAGATTTTTGGTAGGAAATGTAGAGAGAAGGAAGAGCAAATGTTTTTAGAGAGAGAGAGAGAGAGGTATACAAAAGTGATATAACTTCAGCTCAAAGAGAGAGAAAAAAGAAAGAAAATTCGGATCTCTCCTACTCCCGCACCTCACTCCCGCACTTGCCTTTGTAGCAGTGTGCAAGCTGCTCTCCCCTGAAATCCGCACGTGCGGCTTACACTCTCGCTCGTGCGGACAAGCAACTTCAAATGCATTTTGCATTTTTGCTTCGGGGGCGCTACCCCTCAACCCAGCCAGGGCACTGCCCTAGGACCCGCCAAGGGGCGCTGTCCCCTGGACCCCCGCGAGCTGACCGGGCAGTTCGATCCCCGCTAAGGCGCTGCCCTTGGACCCGTTAAGGGCGCTGCCCCCTGGACCCCCGCGAGCTGACCGGGCAGCTCGACCCCCGACCTGCCCAGTCGAAGTGGCAAAACATGAAAGAAGGGTCGAAACCGGGATCACTACATCACATTTCACGACATATTGTCCGGTGTCAGGTTGTACTGAGGCCGGGTTCACTTTGGCTAGTTATTTTTGCTTATCAATCTAACATGGATGCTCTGTCACTTCTTCTTAGGATTTTCTTGCTCATAGTTGTTTAGTTGACAGAAGCAAGAGTGGATTAAAGAACAGCTTGATTGAAAAATAGGGTCCATTTCCAATTCACCACTTGATTGATATGATACCTGCTGCGTGGCTTTAAAAGTGGAACAAATAAAATGCACAATATTAGAAGTCTTCTTGGAAGAGTTTCATTGCTGAATAATTTAGGTTATGAAATTTTTTATTTTTTTTCATGAATTTTATGCTTAAACAGCTTCAGCTCCAATGCCATGGCTGAACAATAGGATTAAGTGCCTTTGGTTGCCTTAGTTCTCCAGGATGCTGGAATTTTTTGACATTTTTATCAAAGTTTTAACCTTTATGTTGATTTGGTGTCTCTTTCAGGTTCAATCTTCTTATTTGAGAATATAACAAGATGAATTTTGTGTCATCACTTTGTAGAAGATTGAATCTCAATGAGCTAGTTACAAATGTTCCTATCTACAGCACTGCTAGTGGTAAAGTTTTCCTATTACTTTGTAGAATTTGGTATTTCTGTAAATTGTTGGTTTGTTGCTTTATTGACCTTTCTATTACGTTTAATTTAGATGTTACTGGAGGAGGATTGAGTTTGACATTCAGGCGCTGGGCTACTAAAAAGACAGCAGGATCCACAAAGAATGGGCGAGACTCGAAACCAAAGAATCTTGGGGTGAAGAAGTTTGGTGGAGAGGTGAGTCAAATACTGATGTCATATTTTTCCTATTTGTATAAACCTTTATCACGTCATTAAGTATATTCTCATCATTGTGCAGAGAGTGATTCCTGGGAATATCATTGTTCGCCAAAGAGGAACCTGCTTCCATCCAGGAAACTATGTCGGAGTGGGGAAGGATCACACCCTCTATGCTATGAAGGAAGGTTGTGTCAAGTTTGAACGACATAAGTTGAGTGGACGAAAGTGGGTGCATGTTGAGCCCAAGGAAGGCCATCTGCTCCACCCTGTCTACTCAAGTGGTGACGCAGTTCCTAAGCTGAAGACCACTGCCTAGGTTTCTACTTTTTTGTGTTCATGGAATGTTAAATATTTGATGCTCTACTTTAGTGGCCTGAGCTTGTACAACTCATTTCCTAAGCTGAAGACCACTGCTTAGGTTTCTACTTTTTTGTGTTCATGGAATGTTAAATATTTGATGCTCTACTTTAGTGGCCTGTGCTTGTACAACTCATGCTGCATCTGAATTTTTGTAGGCAAATTGTGGTACTCATCTATTGGACTAAAAAAATGGTTACGTTGGCATGTCATTGCCATGTGCCGAGATTTGGAGAATAAGGGTAATTAGCTAACATTAAATATTTGATGCTCTACTTTAGTGGCCTGAGCTTGTACAACTCATTTCCTAAGCTGAAGACCACTGCTTAGGTTTCTACTTTTTTGTGTTCATGGAATGTTAAATATTTGATGCTCTACTTTAGTGGCCTGTGCTTGTACAGCTCATGCTGCAGCTGAATTTTTGTAGGCAAATTGTGGTACTCATCTATTGGACTAAAAAAATGGTTACGTTGGCATGTCATTGCCACGTGCCGAGATTTGGAGAATAAGGGTAATTAGCTAACATAACAAGGGCTGACTTTTTTATTTATATTTATATTTTTATAATAATTATGTAAAATCCAGAAAAGGATATACAATAGCAATTGAGAAAGTTTATCAGTACTTTCTACCATCAAGATAACAATTACGAAAAAATCGTTCTTCTTTTGTGTTGAGCTATATATATTTACAGAAAGGAAAAAAACAAAAGAGGAGAGCATTTATGAGTTCTTTACAAGCTATTGAGAAAAGAAACTCAGGAATCATATAAATTATTTATTTTATTATTATTATTCTGAAATCAACAATCTTTGAGAAATCTTGTTTTCTGATGCACTCAACTGCTTACTTTCCGTTGAGCACTCAGCTGTTTGATTATCAGAGGAAGAATAATCATTTACAGAAAAATCAACCAAAGTCCTCTCTATGGAGCCATCAGTTTGAGAATCAGAAGGGTAGTTATCTACGACACCGGATTCAAATCTCTGGCGCCTTTCCACTGCAGCATGAACCCTCCGATCAAATTCTTCGTCAGTGCCTGGCAACATGTAGCGCAGTTTAAAATTTATCCGATTCTCTGCCAGAATCTTGTGCCTTGGCATTATACGACCATCAAGGGAATAGCTGAAGAACCTGTACATATTATCATTTGCATAATCAAGAAACCAGATGATAATAAATTGGCAAACTAATAAACTATGAATAAAGATTATTCAACCCGAAAGAAATTATTGACACCTCCAAAATGCACAAGACCATGTTCTAATTGAAATGTCTGATCAACAATAACTTAGCTTGATCATTGAACAAAATTTAAGAAATATAATTAATATTATGAAAAAAAAGGAAAAGAAAAAAACTGAACATCAGCAAGGCTCACCTTGGAAACTCAATGAGATCCTTCAAAGGGCGTACCATAATCCTCCGCAAATATCGGTACTTGGGACGAAGGACGTCTATATTGTAGCGGAGTAGCATGGGAAAATCAGCTATCATCTCACCCAATAATTGAAGAGGAATGCCAAGTGACAGAAAATACTTCACATTAGCATCCAGCTTATGTGCTATGCTGCACCCCAAGAGCTACGGCCCCAAAGCTATCACCTTTCCAATATCCCTCTGGGTGACTCCAGCTTTTGTCAACAAGAATACGACCTACAAGAAATTCAAATATCAATCACTCTTAAATTGTTATGCATTTTTCAAGGTTCGAAAACATAGCCTAAGATAGTTCTAGGTGCAAAATCATACTTAAATCCATCACTATCAGCAGACGGGAACAATTAATAGTCATGACATAATATGCTCTACAGAATATATCTAAGCTAACTTGATTTTCTTTAGAAGTATTGAAGCAAGTTACCTTTAAAAATGAAATGACAGGAACAAAAATAAAAGAAAAAAACAAACCATGGGGCGGATTTTCTTGTAGAGGCTGTACGTCAGTAATGGAGGAAACTTGACAAGCATGTTGCCTATGGCATCTTCTTTAACACCTATGTCGCGTAAAAATTGTACCTTCACAAGACGGGAAAAACAATCTGTGTAATAAAAGCTTGACAACAATGCTGCATAATTTCAGCATGTATCATTTTGGGTTAATTGTAATACACGCACATAAATAAAAATGTGAACAAAACTGAGAAAAGGAATCCTTGGGGTCAGCCGCAAAAGTAGCCTTTCAACATACTTTCCGTTTACAATAGATTTCAATCATGTGATGCAAAGCACAAGAAGTGAAAGCATACCTTTGGCACGATGGTGCTCTCCAAATCAACACAGAAAACCATTGGTTTGATAGTAAGTATTCTCCTCATACCATCTTTGGAAATCCCAAGGTAGTATAGATGAATTTTTAATTTGTTGATTTACATTAGTTTTTCCTAATTTGAACAATTTGGTTTTGATGGACATAAGGGCAATATGGGTATTTAAAATATATTATGAGGGTAATTTTGGAAATTACTTGTTTATATCCCACAATATATTTTATAAAACAAACATGGATAACATATATCCGGTCTTATATACCAAGTCAACAAACATGATTTGGTAGATATACTATCCAATACATATATCCTATTCATTACATATCCTGACTATATTCCACATCATATTATATCCTCTATTTTATATCCGGTGAAACAAACGGAGCAATTATATCCCTTTCAAACAAAATTTGTAAACATGGGATATGTGGGTCCCATTGGATATCATATCCAATCCCAGTCTCCATATCCTGCAAACAAACAGGGCCTTAGGATCAACTCATTAGTAAAACTGCTTGATTAGGGAATTTTCATGTTGCGATGATGAGAGCATGTAGCTTCAAAATTATGTTCGCCAGTTTGTTTGAATTCTGTTTCCTGGAGTTCGTAAAGAATAAACCCACAATTTGGCCATACTGATGGGTATCTTTTTGTAATTGTCTGGGCACTGTTCACATCCTCAAAGTTTTGTATCTCTTTCCTGATTAAAGGCACCCAAACAAAATGTTTTTCTTTTGCTTTTTACCTCTTTTATTATTTTATGCTTCATTGAGGTTGTGTCCCCAAGTCAGTTGCTATTAGTTTGAACATTGAAGATTTATTAGTTTTAACATGGATAGTTCATTGGCCTTCAGAAATACATTCAAGATTTATTTTGTCCATTTGGTTTTGTATGTTAGAACAGAGGGAAGACAATTGATCATCTCTTTACTACTTGATTTAGTGAGCTATGGTCCCTTTATTTTTTTGCCCTCTTTACACTCCCCTTCAAGAAACCATGATGAATTGGGACCAGCATTTGGGGAAGGGAATTAGTTCATTGAATTAACAGAGACTAGTATTAGGTGTTGGGAGGCTGTCAAGGGGTGTATATGTTAATGGAGGAGATGTTTTGGAGTTGCAACCTTGCTGCTTGTTGGTGAATATCTGGAGAGGGGGAGAGAGCGAGTTTTTGGCCGTCATCATTTTTATTTCTTAGTCATCATTTTCGGAATTTCCATGTTAGAAGGAATATTGAAAATATACTATTGAAAACCTTTTTCATCAAAGAAACAGGTTACCAGAAAAAACTCATCATGACAGGGTTTCTTTTAAGTTAACCACACTATAATTTTAAGTTTTTTGTTGTGCAAATTATACCTCAAATAACAATATGCGTAGAAATAAACAATCCAAACAAGAAGAACAACTACAAGAAATTGATAAATATTATGAAGAATTTAGAAGTAAAAGGATTGTAATCTTCATTCGTATTGGAACTTACCTAATTACTAAAAGTCATAGTTAAATCAATCAAAAAGCATGCCAGATGAATAAATGCATTCATCTACAAATGAAAGGGAAGATTTTAATAGATTTTAATCAAATAGATGGCTGGTATATCAATGAGCAGATTATGACTTCAATTGATTTTAATCAAATCTTCCAATAGATTTTAATCAACAAGAAGATTATGGCTTCCTAAAACCTTAACTAGATGAGCCATACCATAGATGGCTGGTATATCAATGAACAACTGATAGGTATTGAAGCTGCATGAATGGTAAAAATAGCAACTCATAAACTAGCAAGATAGGTTGAATTGAATGCCAAAAACATAAATGAAAGGGAAAATGAGAGAATTAAAATAAAAAATCCATCCACCAAAAAGATGAATAAATGCATTCATCTACAACCCATGGAATTATAAAACTACATGAAATCAAGAAAGTAGACCTGACGACTATAAGTAAGATCTAGAGAAGAATGAAACTACACCTGCCAACATCTGGCAGATCTTTGAGGTATTACATGAAAAATAATAATAAAAAAGAAAAAATGACTACTTTTTATAGAAATTTATTAGCAAGCATGCTCCAATTAAACATAATGATAAAGATTTAGAACTTCTACCAAACATAATGATAAGTTGATAAGTTGAGTAATCTGATAGATTTATCTGGGAATGGTGATAGTTTTACCTGGGAAGCATCAAATGTATGTGGAACTTGGGTTTAAAATAGTATTTGATCCTCTAATTTATCCCTACACAACAAATCTTTCAAACTTTATCTTAGATCTGGGATTGGACATGGATTTCAGGTCTCAGTTTGAGCTAGCAAGGCCTACTTCAACATACTCAGAGCTCACAGCTTCTCTGCCTTTCATATTTGTTGGGAGTGAAGAGAAGCTAATGGAGATAAATATGTTTGGTTTGCTTAGCAAATAGCATCAACAATTTTCTTAAGACTATTCAAAGATGGAATGTAGATTTGGTTGTATTGTTCAGCTATTGCCAAATTTAGGGGATGTTTGTTATAGCTTTTTGTTTTTTGAAAGAAAAAAAATTAAAATCATAAAAACTTGTTTGATAGAAGTATTGTTTTCGTGTTCCTATATGAATTGTTGAGGCTGTGCCTCAAAATTGTTTTTTTATTGTTACCTTTAGAAGGGAAAAAGTTTTGATGATTTTTTTGGCAATTATCCATTTTAATGTCCTCTACTTGTTTATCTATTTTATTTTATTTACTAATTTTGCTCTCATCACAGACCTATCCAATTTGATCAAATAGCATTCAGGTTATAAAGTATAAATAAGAAGAGTAAACGCTATGTATGAACCATGTATATCTTATAATTAAAAAATAATAATAATAATAATAATAATAATTTTTTAAGTCATAATTGAAAAAAAAGAAAAAAAAATATCATAATTAAATGCAATATGAGGTATAATTAAAGAAATTATGAGTAAGGGCTAGGCTTCTCTTGTGAACTCAATATTAAAAAAAAATGACATTTTTATTGCAATGACATTTTTTTATTTCTTATTAAAATAAAAAAATAAAATAAAAATTGAGGTAACGGAAAAATGTACTAAATTAGGTACTATATCAACTTCCATTAATGAAATAATTTTTTCAAAATTTAAAGTGAAGAAAATGATAAAATTACAATTTTTATGTTCATAAGGGCAAAAGTGACAATTACACAGCAAAAAGCTATTTTACAGCTTATTTACTAAATACTACTTTGCTGCTTAAATCCATAATCCCATAGCTGTACCGAACAAGGTACCAGCTTATGTTCACAGCTGTAAACTATAATCTGTTAAGCTATAATCTATAATCACTTTCCCACAGCTTTACCAAACGGGGCAAATGTATTGATTCTTACGGTTTTAGTGTTCTCATCAAACCCTGTTTACAGGTTTCGACCCAAATCATCAACGACGTGTTTGGGCTTTGATCTAAGACTACAAAACCCTGTTTACAGGTTTCGACCCAAACCATCAGCGGCGTGTTTGGGCTTTGATCTAAGACTACAAAACCCTAGTGGAAAGGCGATAAAAGGGTTTGGAGAGAGAGAGAGAGAGAGAGAGAGAGAGAGATGGCGGAGGAAGTTGTACTGGGCTTCCTCGAGAAGAATGATGAGATCTCAGACTCAGGTGAGTTTGCTTCCGAACGTGGAATTGATCATCAAGAACTCACCAACATCATCAAGAGCCTTCATGGTTTCAGATTTGTCGATGCTCAGGTCCACATTTCTATCTAATATGTATATATATGCATATCTATTGCAATTGTGTTGAGTTGATCAAAATCTCATATGTAATTGATTGCGCATGAACCTTTTTAACAATTGTGCGAAAAATAATGATACTATAACAAATTTTTTAGTTGATTTAAATATGCATAATTGATTATATTCTATTGATGGAATAGATAGATTTTTAACTTAAGCTGCTATTGTGCCAAATTTAGATGTTCTAATTGGCCAAGCTCTAAAAGTTGAATGCCCAAATTTTAGCTCAAAAAATCATTTCATTTTTTGTTTGGATGCCGGTTAAATATGTTGGTGAATAGTTTGCGTGGTTGCATTCTTATATGTATCAAGAGAAGGCAAATGATTGATGAATTCGTTTGGAGACTAGACGGTTTAGCCAAAAAATCAAAAAGTTACTAAAAAAGTCAAAAGGCCAACAACCCATATCAAAAAGCCAAAGATTCTCTTTTCTCTCTACTTTTTGCACATCTTTTCGTAAAAAGTCAAAAAGTCATCCCAAACATATTAGTTTTTTTTAGCTCATATTTTAGCCAAATAGTCAAAAAGTTACTAAATTAGCCTATTCCCAAACAAGACCTGATTGTTTTGGAAGACTGGAAGGAATTAGACACACACTCTCTCTATCAATTTTTGCTTTTGTTTCAACTGTTTTTCCTTAAATGGTTGTATGTAGGATGTCCCGGATGATTGTGTTGGAAACACATTTGTTTTTTGCTCATGGAAAGTGGGACATAGTACCTTTTCATGCTCCGTAACTTGCTTTATCTTTATACTTCTGAATTAATTTCTGTGAATATCAAAGTGTAGAAAGGAGAAATTCAACATTGTTGCCTGCATTGTTTTTGCGAGGCTTCCATGCCTAAAAGATAAAGAGCAAATATGTATATATACAGGTCTTTTATGTCTCGTGTTTATCTCTGAACTTCTTTGAGGTTCATTTTTATTGGGATTAATTAGAAAAAAAGTTCAGCGTGTTTATTCTGCGTATTATCCTATCTCTTATGATAATAATTCATGACAGGATACTGATTTCAGATTGCATGGTAATACTGCATTAGTATAATAGAATGACAAAGAGACATCTTTATTGGGTCATATCACGTCATCAAGGTTTTAAAAAGCGGCCGTAACCATTACGTAACGCGGTTACGTAACGGTTTTGGTGGTTACCGCTACCCGTTACGACCGCTTTTGCAGTGTGATTGAGATTCACAGGTGTGTCGGCCGTAGCGGCTGCCGTAGCGGTCGTAACGGTGCTGTAACAACCGTGATGGCCTGTTACACACCGTTACGTAACGGTTCCAAACTGTTTCTTTCGAAAAAAAACACAAAAAAAAGCTAAAAATATAATATAAAGTTATTAATTATTAAAATAAAATATAAAAAACTCAGTTTATAGTGATTTAAAAATATGAAATATATTGGATCATACTTAAAAATTTACAAAAATTGATCAATATGTACCGGTAAGTTTTTTTCAAATTGTGCGAAAAATAAAAACATTCACGGTTCCGGTTACCGCAACCGTTACGCTAAGGCCTTTACACCCCGCCACCGCAACCGCGCCACCGCTACCGTTACAGCGACCGCAACCGCTTTTTAGAACCTTGCACGTCATATAATTGTAGATATTATTTCTGTAGATTACATATGCTTCATGCTAATTGTGCAGGACATTAAGAGGGAGAGATGGGTACTTACTGAGGAAGGGAGAACATATGCTGCTGCTGGATCACCTGAAGTACAAGTTTTCTTGGCCATACCACCAGAGGGTATTTCACCGGAAGAATTGCAGGTTATGCATCTGTATATTAGGTTACATGCAGTTAGAAATTGTAGTCTAATACAAGAAGTAATAATGGGATTTTTCATGTAGGAACAACCATGAGCTATTCTGTAATTCCATTTTATTTTCAATTTTCATACTTTGGATGTAGGGAGTGCTGCATTGGTTTGATGTAGAATGCAGTCCTTGGGAGTTGAAATTTCTTGCATTGACTGTAACATTCATTTGACTTGTTTGAAAAACATCTGCTTCCAATTGCTTGCAAACAAACGCAACCGAGAGACTAGTGTAGATATGAGCTTTTTTGTTAAATATTTATTTGGTTTTCTAATTGAAATTTGATTTATGCTCCTAGAAGATTTATTTATGATCAACAGTTAGCTTATCCAAAGATGTATTGTTGAAGTTGATCTTTGTGCATGCAGAGGAAAATGGACCCAGCGGTTTTCAAAATAGGTCGCTCACAAGCGATAAAGAATCAATGGTTGGAGATGGGAAAGCAATTAGTCACCAAAAAGGTAAACATCAAGAAAAATTTTAGATTACATAGATCTGGAAGAGCTACTTATGTTCTATTAAGATTTCTTAAATTTTGAGATTTTAAAGGGTGTTGATATCCTCGATTCGACGAATCTTGTCTTTCGTCTTTTGCGTGTTGAAACTCACTTTCTTGGTGTGAAAAGTGAGCTTGAACTGACTTGGAAGTCCGATGAGTTTGCACGACAGTTAAGGTTTACCTTGCCTTGAGAGCTGGGGCAATGTTTTAAAAGGCGTGCGCCTAAGCGTGAGGCGCAGCCTTGCGCTTCAAACAGGTCGAGGCAAGGCGCAATACGCGAGGCGTCGGCTTTATTGGTTTTACCTATTTTTCTACTCCAACTGTTGATTAAGTGTTTTTTTTTTTGTGGGCATACCCACAGGGATTCAAAACTTTTCAATATAAAATGACCAAACGTGATCAAAAGAGAGCAGAAAGTGATAAAGATTGAATGTTATGCTTTATCTTTTGTTGGATATTATATTCTAGGTTTTAGAAGATTGAATGTTATGTTTAAAGATTATCGGAAATGGTTATGATTTTTTAAATTATATATATATACATATATTTATTATGTTGAAAAGTTTGCCTATTTTATAATTTTGCTTTTCTTCTACTACTCGCGCCTCGCCTCACACCTCGCGCCTCGCCTCGCACCTCGCGCTTAGGCTATAGGAGATCTTATCACCTCGGTGCGCCTAGAGCCTTTTAAAACACTGAGCTGGGGAACGTGGTTGGTGTCGTGTCTTGGTCCGATTGTTCAGCAGAGCGATCAAGATTGAAATGATTTTACTCTTAAACCTGCTCTTCTTAGGAATAATATGCTGCATGTAAATGTTAAGTGAGGATTTAACACCCTATCTACTGGATCACCTAAAATTCAGTCAAAGATCATGGACTCTGAAAATTTTGTTTAGCAGAAGTCATGTGAATGAAGCGTATATACATCTCTATTGTTTTTCTTTGTTCATGTAATTTTGTCAGTTGACTGTAAAATTTGCCCATTCTTTTGATTGATTCTTGGATTCAAAATCTGAGTTAGGTTTCACTTGATCACCAACTGCTTTGTTATAGGTTGTGAACATATAGTTTTGTTAGCTCCATTTCAGGTGTCTAGTTTTCTTTTGTGAGAGTTGGTTCTCTTAAATTCATCTGCGCAGTCAATTACATGATGGTGCATATAGAAAAGTACATATGGTTGGCATTGATGTGTTTTTCCACTTAGACGTCATGTCTATTGTATCAATACATTACTCATCAATTTTCTAATGCTGGTCAATTGCTGTAGGTTCAAAATGTGCAAGATAACGTTAAAGATATGCTTACACGGGTACAAAATGGAGAGGTAAATATATCTTAAACTGATTTTTTCATCATTTCAGATTATTAGTTACCACTTTCTTCAACTGTGAGTTTCAGGACTGAAAGTTCCAACATTCCTTTCCTTGAAATAACTTAAATTGATATTATTACTTGCGTTAATATTATTTATTTCACATGAATATCTTCTAATTTTATTATTACCTGATACACAAGAATCATCCAGAGTCAATGACAAACTGCTGATAATATAAAGTTGTGTTCATTGTTTGATATTAGGTACTCATCTTGTTTCTAAAAACAAGAACCATATTTCTATAGTAGAATAATTATGCAAGAATGGGTTATAATAAATTACTGGTGTATATTTGAGAACTATCTTATAGCATTTTTATATCTAGTGCTTTATACCCAAGATTCCTGTAATTGTTCACTACTGAACTTATTTCACTCAAAAAGAAAAAGAAAAAATAAAAACCTAAACTTTACGTATGATGAGCATCGCCAAACAACTTAAGCTACTTTGATAAGTTATTTCTTCCTGCTTTATCTACTTTGTGTATACTTGTTTCCCTCATGTTTATCATAAATTGTTGTGATTCCACAGGTCATTGACCCAAAAGAAATTGATGCTCTTAAACGGCGAAAGCTCATTGCTCCACAGTAATTACTTTCCAGTTTTTCAAATTTTTTATTTATTTCTGCTTGCTTGTAATTTCTGTTTCAGTTGAAAACTTTTCCAGAAAGAATTAGCCATTCTTTCTGCTGGGGTCGTTACTTGTGAAACTAGAGAAAATTGTCTTTTGTTAATTCTGCTTCTGACATGTCTCATATTCTGTTTATTGTTGATAATTCTTTATCTACTTTTCTTCCTAGGACGTGGAAGGGCTACTCGGTAAGGAAAGGTCCTAACTATGCTCCAAAATGGAAAAAATTTGCCACCGATTTGACTCGAGATAATCTGCAAAGGTAATCCAGATATCAATGGATATTTCTTGGAGACATGTATTATGCATGCAATGATTAAACATTTGGGTTTAATGACATGCTTTTTGAGTGATTTAAGACAATGCTTATTTTATGTGTCATTATGAATTAAAGATATGATTCTGTTTGTCTTTCCTCCAACCACTCACAACGCCACTTATTGGGGTATTGACTTGTTCAACCCTTTTTATGTTCATCTGTAAGCCAAAGCTGTTTGAACTGTAGAATCTTGAACTGGTAGTCATTCTCTATATGTATGTTTTATAGCATTAAGGAAAGCGAATCCAAAGGTTTTTTCTCGCTGAGGATGTCTCTTCCTGCACAATAATTAATTTCAATTATCAGCTCTTTAAGGTGCCTCCGGTTGTTAATGAATGAACTATTCTTGATGTTGGTCTGTTAAACATGCATGCCCCTAGCTGATGTTTGAATACTTTTAATGGTTATGGCTACTTATATGCCCTCTGTGCCCTTGGAAGTTTTGGTGTTAGCTTGGGTGTTCGTGCGTAAGATTATCTACACCATTGGATGTGTATCCTCTTGGTGTATTCCACTGAAGAAGAGTAGAGCTTAGGTGTTTACTTATCTGCTACATCTGAGATGTCTGTTGCTTATATATTAATTTACCATGAATGTCATTTACAGTTTGTCAAGCTGACATTTGTTTCTCTCTCTCTCTCTCTCTCTCTCTCTGTCAAAGGGGTGATTGGAAGGATATGGAATTCAAGGAATATAACTTCAGTGCTAAAGGTCAGCCTATTGAAGGTGGCCATCTCCATGCATTGCTCAAGGCAAGGATATGATTTTCCTTTTCTTTATTCCCCCCTCCGTCTAGCTAATTTCTTTCCCAGTTTGTTTTTTTACTTAGTCTACTCAAAATAAATGTATGCGTAAAAGGCAAGAGAGGAAATTGTTTTACGGTTGAACTGCATAATTAAAGATCACAAGGAATTTTGTAGTTCTGAAAACAAATTGAGATATTTGCTACTCAATTCGAAAACTATTCTGAATTTTTTGGAGTTTTCTTCATGGATCCTTCTCCTGTTGATTCTATTCAAAGGCATATCCTCAATTAAGACTGAGGAAAAAAAAAAATTGGAATTTGCATTTGAGAGTTTAATTTGGCGATGTTTGTTAAAACTTTGTTATGTGGAGACATTTAATGTTTGCCTTTGATCTTGTAATATAATGGTCGAGGCCTTTTCAGCCGCAGATTTATGCATGTTACAACATGCATTTAAAAGTATCAATTACCTTTTATAACACACGAGTATTTACTACTACTACTACTACTAATAATAATAAATAATAATAATTCACATATGAGTATATTCAATGAAGGTTTTGAAAATTTAATAAATATTGCCAATGATGCGAAAGCATGAAATGGTGCACCGTTTTTTCTACCCCCAACTCAAGTCACCTGCACTAAGACTGTCAGGTGCCGCTTAATTAACTAGTTTTTATTTGAGAACTGCAAAGAGTTATCAAGGCTGCCACTCAGTGAATGTTTGTTCATTGGCAGTATGTCTAAAGGCTATAAGCTATAGGTGAATTTTACCAACAGATAGCTGAATGGCTTAGATAGATTACAAGAGTTGCATCTTTTGCATGACAACAGTTAAGATAATAGTTCATGAATAGAAAAAATAATAGCAAAGACAATAACGACGAAAGTCTTGGTCAGGAACTCTGTCACCTTTTTGTTGGTCAGTAATCACTGTGAAACTTAGGTTATTTATTAATGAATGGTTGTCGCATATCTTCATAAGATTACCGTTTGTAAAAATCTCTTCATTTCAGGTACGACAACAATTCAAGATGATTTTTCTTCAGATGGGGTAAGACCTGATCATGGTTCTGTCATAAACATGTCTGAATGCATGTGTCTATTAAGTTGTGAAGGTAGAAAGTTTGCACCATTGCCTCCTTAGATACCTTTTCATTCTCATATATTTGCTTTAATTTTGGTACACGAGTCCTTACATTTCTATAGCTGACACTTGACAACATATACCAATTCATCTATTAATTTAGAGTCTTCACAATATTAACACTTGTGATGTCATACACCCTATTATTTTATTGGGGAAATATCAGTTCAGCCTGTAAGACCAAAAAGATATTTGCGCCAAACACAGTCAAGACTTGCCCCCATAAAGATTCGCATCAATTTGTAAAATCTGTGCCCCATTTGCCACTGCAGTCTATGGTACAAAGCTAAGAAGCATGGACACTTCTAAAAAGCTGGTGTGTCCGTGTCCGTGTCCGTGTCCGACACTTTCCAGACATGTGTCCGATACTCATCCAAACGTGTCCTATTTTTTTAAAATGAATTTATACTCGGACACTCTTTGGACACTTGGAGGACACATGTGTTCATTGCTTAAACAAACGTGTCTATAGATTAGACAACACAAAACTAATTATAAGTTTAAATAAAATAACTTAGAATATGATGATAAAGAAAAATAATGTCAATTTATAGAAATTAGTGTTATATTGCATTTATTTATTGTTTTAGAATGATATATTCATATATATGACACATAATAAATTTATAGAATTATATATTATGTGTGTCCCCCCCACATGTCGTGTGTTGCATTTTTTAAAAATTGCCGTGTCATGTGTCCGTGTCCGTGCCCGTGCTTCGTAGGTACAAAGTGTGTGGGGTTATGGTGTATATATGTGTGTTGCTTAATGAAGTGCATAACTCCACACAGATTGTGTACTGTCTAGTATTCGTTGTCTATATCTCACCAAAAGTTGACAATTTAGAGCATAACAAGAATTAAAGTATCTTTAAACCAAGAGTTATGAATAAAGATGGTGAGGTTAAAAGGTATGCATGGGAAGCTATGGTCGACAAATCCTACCATCACTATGTGTTTGTGCATGTCTATTTATGCATCACTATGTTTTGGGGGTTAATGTTCTTTTCAATTGGTCACTTAATGGATGCAGATTTGAGGAGATGCCCACGAACAATTTTGTTGAAAGCAGGTAACTGATCTTTCCCCTCCCAAACACACATTAATGTGTATAATTGGTTTTTTTTTTTCTTTTTTTCCAGGTAACTGATCTTGCCCTTTATATGATAGTTCATTGGAGCTACTGATAACAGATAAGAAGTTATTTTAGCTTTAACCTAGATAGTTTTGAAGTTAGTGTATCTGAAGGCTAGGGCATAGCACATTTCAAAGGAATATTTTGCTTCTACATGAAAGGGGTTACAACTCACTACAAATGCTGGGTGCTTTGCCCAAATAATCCTGGATGATTGATGACAATAAGATGTGGTTGTCAATAATTTCTCATCGTCAATACAGTGAAAACTTATATAATATTGACTCCATTGTAGTTATGCCTTATGTATTGGTAATTTTCCAAACAAGGAGGTGCCTCTAAACACCTCCCCATTTGTTGATGTTAAGAACAGAAAATGGTTTGCTGAATGGGATACACTGGAGATCCCATGATCTTTTCTCTCTTCTTTTTTATATATTATTATTATTATTTATTTTATTTTAAATATAGCCTTTGTTTAGATAGATTACAATTTCATTATATATGTTTTTGTCATTGGGGTTTGAATGCTTACAACTCACGGTATTGTTGCAGGAAACTGCATTCAGTCTTAATGTTAATTCTGCATTCATTGTTGTTTGGCTTTGCAGCTTCTGGAATTTTGATGCACTGTTCCAGCCACAACAACATCCTGCCCGTGATTCTCATGATACATTCTTCCTGCAAGTTCCTCCCACGACGAAGTTTCTTCCTGAAGATTATGTTGAGCGGGTGAAGCGTGTTCATGAGTTTGGTGGCTATGGGTCCAGGGGGTATAAGCTCTTTTCTTCCCTAATATTTTATCTGAGTGTGTGAGATGAAATATAATAGTTTATCTCAGTGTGTGAGATGAAATCTATTTTCCTGTAGTTATGAATATGATTGGAAAAGGGAGGAGGCAAACAAAAACCTTCTGCGAACTCATACAACTGCTGTTTCCTCAAGGATGCTTTACCGGCTTGCACAGGTTTATCTGCATTATGTTGTTTAATAACTATAAATGTATGCTTTTCATTTTCAATTCGTATGCTTTATCTGCATTATGTTGTAGAGCTGCACATTCTGTTATTACATAATACCTACTCTTGCGGGTTGATGATGGTAATAACTTGCAATTTTTACCATTCAAGAGAGAGAGCTTCTCCAGTGATATTACAATAATTAAGTATTTGATGGGGATCTATGGCATGTTGAGTAGCAGATGACATGAATGGCAAGTTTAGGTTAGCTGAACTCTTGAGGGGTTTAATCACTTCTTGTGGAAAATGATACGATGTTTTTATTGGTTTAGCTCTTTATAAATAGTAAATGCGCAAAAAGGATGGTTATCTGTTCTGTTCGCCCATGGCCTTTTTTCAAGGAAGTTTTGAAAAATAAAATTTTGATGAATTATGCTCTGTGAAGTATGATGTGCATGTTGGCAGATAACGGAAGTCTAAATGTGTATGAATCCTTTTCCTTCACATGTTTGCTAGTTCTTATGGCTATGGGTTTTGTTTTACCCAACATAGTATCAATTTGGGAGCTTCTCTTCTTCTTTTTACTTTTCTTCTCTTTTTGAGGTTTTTGTAAATTACTGTCATTTCTTAATATTAATTGAGGGACTGTTATTCCCAGGAAGGTTTTGCTCCCAAAAAGTACTTTTCTATAGATCGTGTATTCAGAAATGAAGCTGTGGATCGAACTCACCTTGCAGAGTTTCACCAGATAGAAGGTATGAGACAATGAATGTTGCTTCCCCAAAAAAGTGTAAGAATGAACGTAAAAGTATGTGCGGTTGAAATACTGGAGGTGCAATCCATTCATATTGCTGTCTTTTCGGCATCAAACCGGGGTATTAGCATGGCTTACATGTGTTCAGCCTAAAATTGACATCACGTCAGTGCACACTAACCTAGAGTCCTAAATTTCTAAAAAGCACAGACACTTTTAAGAAAGTAATGTGTTGTGACATTGGACATCGACACAACAAATGACATGACACTTGTTGGACACTTCCAACACTTGCACACATATGAAACACATTACAAGTTTAATAAAGTAACTTGGAATCCAATGAGAAAACTAAAATAAGGTAAATTTACATGTATTCTACTCCTTTAAACTTTAAAATTACTATATTAGACTTAAATATTTATATATAAGCGTATAATAATGATTTATCTTTATATATGATAGATAATAAATATATAAAATTATATGTTTTGCATGTGTACCCCACGTGTCATGTCTTACATTTTTAAAAAAAAAATTGTGTGGGTATGTTGGAGTAAGCCCCTCTTAGCGAAATTTGGTGGGGCTGTGTAACATTGTCAACAAAACTTAATTTTATTAGATTCTCAAGATGGTTGATTTTCTTCAGGTGCCAAACCTTACCTTACCCAATTGATGAAAGGAGTGAACAATAAATATATTTTGCTAGTTCTTAATGTGGAGAGACCCAGTTGCACCAATTGAACTGATGGCAAGCAAAAAGGACAAGGCTAGATCACCCTTCTGAATTGCACTGTCATGTCCCATTTCACTTCTATGAATCCATAGTCTTTGTGGGCCATTTGTAAAAATATGATGCTATGAAACAAATGGAGAAGTTTGGCAGTAGTGACATTTCATGACCTAAAACTGAATAAGCATCACTGGTTACTTCACTTTCCTTAAGTGGCACCCAACAAGTAGTGGATTTCTATTTCAAAATGCTATATGATTTTTTTCCCAATTATTTTTAATGCTACATGATATGGATGACTTACTGAACTTCCATTGAATGGCAAAGGCGCCGTAGTTGATTTTATATGGTTTCTGCTAAACCTTTTACCTGTCTGGATTTCTGTTTTGATTTCAGGGCTCGTATGTGATCGAGGACTTACTCTTGGCGACTTAATTGGAGTTTTCAATGACTTTTTTTCTCGTCTTGGTAATATTTACTCTCGCTTGAACTTTTGATCATGTTCTCTTTTAGTGATGAATGGATTACACTAAACTTCCTATATTTGGAAGTCCCGGTAAATGAAGCTTACCAATTTTGTAGTGCATAAACTATTTAATACCAATATACATTTATTTTGCATAGAAAATTAAATAATAATCGACATCATGATTTTGGAGATGATATGAAACAAGCATACTGACGAATCAGACTTCCCTTCTTACTACACTTGTGTTCAGGTATGTCCAAGCTGAAATTCAAGCCTGCTTACAATCCATACACTGAACCCAGCATGGAAATTTTTGGGTAATCGATTGTTATTGATCTGACGGGGCTGTTGCATGTGATGTAGCCAATAATACAATTTTTTTTATTTAATTGTATCTCTGCAACTAGATTAATTCTCCTCCAATTGCTCAGTTATCACGAAGGCCTAAAGAAATGGGTGGAAATTGGAAATTCTGGCATGTTTAGACCTGAGATGCTGCTTCCGATGGGACTCCCAGAAGATGTTCGGGTTATTGCATGGGGCCTTTCCCTAGAAAGGTAAGGAAATTATTATGGGAAAATTATCAAATAAGTCAGATAGTTTTTTCATGAAATTTCCATCGAGCTGAAATTGTGTTCAGGTATGTCCAAGCTGAAATTCAAGCCTGCTTACAATCCATACACTGAACCCAGCATGGAAATTTTTGGGTAATCAATTGTTATTGATCTGACGGGGCTGTTGCATGTGATGTAGCCAATAATACTATTTTTTTTATTTAATTGTATCTCTGCAACTAGATTAATTCTCCTCCAATTGCTCAGTTATCACGAAGGCCTAAAGAAATGGGTGGAAATTGGAAATTCTGGCATGTTTAGACCTGAGATGCTGCTTCCGATGGGACTCCCAGAAGATGTTCGGGTTATTGCATGGGGCCTTTCCCTAGAAAGGTAAGGAAATTATTATGGGAAAATTATCAAATAAGTCAGACAGTTTTTTCATGAAATTTCCATCGAGTCCTATTTATACTAATGTGGAGAGGACTGATTCCTATGTTGATTGGATTTAATGAAATTTTAATGAGAAAAGTATAACTTGTTGGGTTGGTTGTTCTCGTTCTTGTTCATGAATCTTTTTAGAAATGATGAATCCAATTGTTCTGAATCATGTTGACGAATTTAATATTTGTTTGAATAAATGCAATGACAAAAATTGCAAAGTAAATCTGCACTGCTGGAGTATATTCTCTGAAAATATTGATAATTTCTTTTATTCTGTGGATCAGACCAACCATGATATTGTATGGGATTGATAACATACGGGATCTCTTTGGTCACAAGGTACATATACATATACATTCACTTAGTACGAATAAGCAGCTCTCTTTTGTTTAAATTGGGTGGCATTTTAATGATCATTATTATTGGTCCTTGCAGGTGGATCTTAGTCTCATCAAGAAAAACCCTCTATGTCGAATTGGAATAGAGTAGAATGGGGTGGTGTTTTTCCCTCATATTTATATCAAAGTTTTCCTTTTTAATAGTTGCCCCCCCTCTTTGGGAATTAATTGCAAATTGATCCCTTTTTGAAAGTGGTTAACGACAAGAAAACCCCAATTTTAGTTTTTGTTTTATTTTGTAGCAAATGCCAGGCAATGTTCCAGCTTAGTTGTTATTTTCTGTCTATTACAAATGGTTCCTTATATAGATGTAGGTGTAGTGGATGGTGTGTAGTGGATGGTGATAGTAGTGTAGTGGGTTAGGTTTAGTGGAGTAGGTGAGGTGGTAGTGGTGGTAGGTGATGGTAAATTCTAACATGGTAAGTGGTGAGTCATATAACAATATAAGTCTCTATTCATCGGGAAGCCAGATAAGAAAGCCCAAGGCAGACTAGCAAATTTTGTGGAATTTGTAGTTACATTTTAGATGGGCTAGGCCATAACTTGATCAAAATTGATAATCCAAAAGGAGTTAATATTTTGGACTGAAATTTCATTTTGAAATCACTTCTCAACTGGTCAAGTTATCAGGGAGTTCAGTTTTAATATTAGAAGGTATCATTTTACTAGGTGTTTATGACTAATGTGATTCAATTTTGAAGTGAACCAATAAATTTGTTTTCATAAGATTTTAGAGATAAACTGAACAGTGAAGCCTTTGGAATTGAACTAAAATCAGACTACAAAGAAATAGTCTAGCTCTTATTCAGTTTTATGATTTTAAATTAAAAAATGTGTATTATATATAGATTATTCAGTTCAACCAAAAATAATTCAGAAGCATACTACAAATTCAGCTCTATCTATGTAGACTCAAATTCAGAAGCATACTACAAATTTTTATGAACATTTTTCAATTTAGTTTCTGTATGAACACATACTTTTACCAACCAAAAAAAAAAGAAGTATCAAATGAATAGAATAAATAATACCTTGTTCAGAGCTGAATGAAATTGAGTTTTGAAGAAGCCAATGGAAAGACAACGGGATGGATCCAGGCTACCCATCAAACCGACCTGACCCGCATTTGGACAGTCCAGCAACATAGGAAGACGCATGAGGGCGGTGTTGTTTTTTCAAAATTTCAGGTGCAGATCGAGTGGAAAATACGCCATGATTCGCATGGACCTGATCTACCCGTTGTATAATATATATATTTTTATTTTTTGGACGGAGCTCCTCTCCAGTAACTACGGGGAGCTGTTTGGCTCTTGTGAGCCTTGATTTGAGCTCATGTCGATAATTCAAACGTTTTATGTGTAGAATCCGTCAAATATATTTTTTATGTAAAAAATTACATTGATCAGATATTGATAATCATTTGATTATATCATATTTTCAAAATAGTTTTTAAAATAAATTATGACAGAAATATGATATGATTAAATTGTTATCGATATTTGATCAATGTGATTTTTTATAAAAATAATATATTTGACGTATTTTACACATTAAATAATTTAAATTATCGATATGAGTTCAAATCAAAACCCATCGATGCCGAACAACTCCCTCCAGTTATTGGAGAAGAGTTGGGTTCTTATTTTTTATTGTTTTGCACGACCACAAAACCGGAGGTGTGCCCCTAAACCACGTAATTTGACGGATATTTTCGAACTCCTCATCAGATATACGTTCTTAGGCCAACTACACTGCTCTTGGCATATGTTAACTTCCATTTGTTGTCCATCATGATTGCCAAGTCCATTTTATGCCATAAATTTTGTGATTATTATATGAAAAAAAATATTAATACAAAATGTATATATAAATTTTTTGACAAAAATGATGTAATTGTGGCAATTTTGAAAATATAAATAACCTTGATGAATTTTTTATTTTAAAATTACAAAATTGATGTGTTATAAAATTGTGTATTTGATTTGGGTAATGCTATATATGTAAGTTAAGATATTTGTAATGTTGTTTATCATAAATGTAATAATAAAATCCTATTCCGTCATAACTTTAAAAAAAAAAAAAATTATAACGAAACGTGACATGAGTCATACGTAAAGATCTTTTGGATCACCACTAAAATAATGCCATAATAAATATCATAATATGTTATCACCAAAAATTATAAACGTCGCAACTGGAACATATGGTACATACATTTTTAAGTGGTGTGTATTATATAATTCTCCATTAGTTTTATATACAATTTTTGTATTTCTATATCATTACTCTTATCATATATATATATACATAATCGAATATAGTTGTGTCACATGCCAAAAAACATTATCTAAGAATTAAATATGTAAAGAAAATTTATTTTACATATAACTCACAATATTGTAATTTTAAATCTACACCTTACGTGTTACTTTTAGGATAAATTTTGATTACGTTTTACTTTCATTAGGATTGAGTTGAGAGGCTCATGGGCATCAGTAGTAATCTTATTTCAATGATCTAAACTACTAATTTTTTAAGGTATTTCATGTATTTCATCTATAAAAAATTATATTTATCTAATAATCATAACATTTTTATTTTATGGTGTTTGTGTCCAAAAAAATAAATGATTTATTTTTAGTACATGCTTGTTGTCCATTTTTTTAGAGAGAAACAATAAATAAAATAGTTGCAATTGTTAAATCGATTTAATTTTTTTCATAATTTAAAAAAATGGAAAATTTAAATTACCAAAATATGATCTATAATAAACCCCACACACTCCTTAAGTTGAACTCGTCAAAGTTGACCTATAATTACCTAATTACATTTATTTGAAAAAATTAAAGGGTATTGTTAAGATGTGCACCTCATTAAATCAAAAATGTTAAGAGATTCTAAAAATTTTATCAAATATTTCATATGGGTATGAGATCTATATGAGACCCACATTATGTGAGTTTCACACCCATGTAAAACATTTGATAAAACTTTTAGTAGAATATTTAGTGTTTCTTACATTACTCTCATTAAATAGTGTATATCATGTACACATTTATTTTAAACTATTAGATATTTACAAATTAATCTCAACCATTAAACAGTTTAATTAGAAATATTGAATACTCTTTAACAGGTTACAATTTTCTTTAGGGGTACTTACGTGTAAGTCCTAATAAGTGGACTTATTGTCTAATAAGTTCTATGAGAAAAATTTATCATAAAAAACGTCACTAATTGTAAGTTTTAATGACAATTTATAAAAATAATGACAAAAGAAGTTATTAATTATCAATTTTTAACGATATATATAAAAAATTATTACAAAAAAATTATTTTTATTGACAATTTTATTAAAATTTATTTTCAATAGGACTCATTTAGGTCCAATTATTAGGGCTATTTATTCCACAAAACCTTATTTTTCTCAAAAAACCTCTTCACTTTGTTTTCCTAAAGCCCTTATTTTTCTGACGACTCCGAAGCTCTTCTTCACACTCTTCAGACACGACTCCAAAGCTCTTCTTCGCCCTCGAAGACTATCCCGCGAACACAACGTGCCCTCGACTTCACCTCAAGGTATGTCTCTCTCTCTCTCTCTCTCTCTCTCTCTCTCTTCTCTCTCTCTCTCTCTCTGTGCAACTTGTTTCTCTCCTTTTCTCCATCTCCATTCTATGAAACCCTAGACTGAAATCCCTTTCTTCAAAACTGCCCCTTTCACCTTTGTGAACTCACTGGATTGGTTTATAAAGTTAGGAAAATATGATTTGAATAGGTTTAGGTTTTTTTATGTTTGTTTGCTTTGGTAGTTGTTTTGATTCCATATATATATATATATACTTGAAATTTGGCTTGAGTGTGTGAAATCTGATGTGTGTGTAATTGAATTTTGCACTCAATTATGTCCCTTCTATGTTGAATTACTGAAAGGATAAACTGTATGCTGATCATTTTGAGCCTTATCCAAACCAAAGACTGGCATAGTTCCGTTATCAATAATATACCCCTTCCCATTGTGTTAAATAATGACGCCTACATAGTATTATTTGTCCAGGAGGACAATTAGTCTCAACCTTATTTAAGGGCCACCAAACATAGGATAAGGGATGATATGGAACTAATGGGCCAATCCTAGCTCTTCTTACCCCGTACAAATGTGGTTCTAGTGTCAATCTGGGTACTCCCTCTGTCTCACACTGTTAGTCCTTTTCCCAATTTGGGGATGTTCCAAAATGTTAGTCTTCTCTGGAAAGTCAAAGCATAAAATTTTACAATTTTCAAAAATGGTCCCTCATAAGTGGCTGAATATATTTAAGACTGGGAATAAAAGGGGAATCTGAGAAACCAAATGCCTTTTTATTTGAATTTGAATTTCTTTAATTGTATGTCCCTTTGAAAAATTTGAACTCCTAGAAGGTGCTAACATTGTGGGATGGAGGGAGTACTAAGTTGAGTGTTGATCTTTGTTGGTGTTGCATTGTGTGGTTTTATCTTATATTGTATCTTAGGACCTAGGATTTTGTAATTTTATAGAAGAAGTTGCATTTGTTGTAACAATTTGAATAGAAAATGATTTACATAACAAGTATATATTATATTTGGACAGTAGAAATGCTTTCTTTCTTTCCTTTTTCTACCCAACTCAACTCAACTCAACTCAACTCAATAAAGCCTTGTCCCTCCCAACTATTTGGGCTTGCTACATGAATCTTGTTTGGCATTCTACTCGGTCAAGGGCCCTAATATCTGTTAAATCACAAGTTAACACATCTTTCGTTACTATCTCAAGTTATATTAATTTTGTATTTGTAGTACCCTAAGTGTGGACACTGTCACTATTTGTTGCCGTTATAGTTAGGGTTGCAAATTAGCCGAGCCGAGCCGAGCTTTCAGATGTTCAGGCTCGGCTCGGTCAAAATGAGGGAAGCTCGAGCTCGGTTCAAGCTCAAGTCGAGCTTCAGAAATTATATTCGAGCTCGGCTCGTTGGCTAATTTAAAAGCTTGAGCTCGACTTGTCTTGGCTCGATAAATGAGCTCGAGCTCAAACAAGCTCGAAATTCCAATTCACATCTATAACTCAAAAAATGAAATTCCAATTCATATATAGAAAGGGATGTACAATGTTCTGTCACTAATTCAATAAATTTTTCAATCACATTTTTTTTTTCTCACCAAAAAAAAAAAAAAGAAAAAGAAAAAGAAAAAAAAAATATGACTAGTAATAAAAAATTTGTGCATTACACAGCATAGCAAGCATTACACAGTGCATCCTTGAACAAAACATAATTACCAAAAACACAGTGCATCCTCAAATAAAACGCATTACACAGAACATTACACCATGCATCCTTAAACAAAACATAATAACCACAAACTAAACCACTAATGTCTTGACTTGATTCACTTGAAAATACACCAAAGAGTCTTCATTTCTTTGGAACTTTGCATGAGCCTTTGCATTAATTGTATCCATGAGTGGACTAGTTGCTTTGTTTTGGGTAATTTTCTCTCTCGGTTTCACTTATTTAATACAATGGTTGGTTCAATTTTATATTGATTGTTAATTTATTAGTGCATTAACTTAGTTCTTGCATTATTGTTATTTTTCTTAGATATGTCAAATAGACAAATTAATCTCACTTCTCCAAAGCAAGATTCTTGTACACCATTTTCGTCATTTGATATATATGCATGCACTCGTTATGCAACTCAAAAAAACAGGGAACAATATATATATTGAACACTTGAACCACCATTGTATCAAATAAGTGAAATGAGAGAGAAAATTATCCAAAACAAAGCATAAAAATTGAATTGTTAAAGCACAAAATTAGTAAATTATCTTTATTTACAAATTAACCAAGACTCATATTTGAATGTGGATATATATATATATATATATATGCATGCACTCATTATGCAACCCAAAAATCATCTTCATAGACTGAAAAAATATCAAAACTATGAAATAAATCATTAAAAAAAAAGAGAGATTGTAGCTTTTCTTTAATTTATATGTTCAAAACAGGGGACAAAAACCAATCCAAAAAAAAAAAGGGTTAAATATATACATAATTAAACTTTCACTCTAGCAAAGAAGAGGAACAAAATATATATAACAGTGTGTATCGGAAGGGATAGTAAGAAATACTTGATTCTGCGAATTGGGGACTAAAGGGAGAGGAGAGAGAAAGGGTCAATGGTGAAATAAGTGTACTGTGTGCATAGGAGCATGTGAGATGCCATGGGTGGAGAGGGAGAGAGAGAATCTCCCAGTCTCAGATCTTCACTGGAGGAACGAAACTATACCGTCAATGTTTGAGTGTCTAAGAGTTGATGAGATTAATTCTTTGTGCGATTGATTCAAACGTTGGCCATATCTGGATTGTTCAGTGTTGAATGTTTGCAGTATTAATAGGATAGGAATGTGTAGGATACAAAAAGTAGTGCATATAAATCCGATACAAAGAGGAACCCTAAATTGAATTAGTTACGATTATCAGATGGCTATATCTTTTTGTGTAAATGAAATACACAATACCCAACAAAATTAATGGTTTGGATTCAAAATAGAACCCGTGATGGGCCTCGTAGGGCCCAAACAATGCTCTCAAATCCAAATTATGGGGATCGACGTAATCCACCTTTTAAAATTTGATGAGGTCAAATAATTATGCAAATTTATGAATATCTTTTTATTTTTTGTTTTCCTCGAACTATAATTTTTTTTTTTTAAAAAAAAATTATTGAAATTTCACTTTGAGAAAATATCATTTTCCCCTCAAACTATAACTCAGAAAACAATCCAACCACTGTTCTCTTAATAATATCTAGTTTATACCTTATCTAGTTTATACCTAAACTATTCGATTTTGCATCAATTTTACTCTACTATCAATCACGGTCTATAATCAAATAGAAGTTGCTCATGTGACACCTAAAATATCAATTAGTTTTCTGAATAAAATGAAGTTTAGAGGGTAAAATGAAATTTCAAATTTCATTGCCATGTTATAAACAGAAGCTAACAGTAAGGGTAAAATTAATCCAAAATCAAATAAACTAAGTGTAAAATTAATATTATTAAAATAACGGAGGTTAAATTAATTTTTCAGTAATAGTATGAGAGGCAAAATAATATTTCTTCTTTTACCTTCATTAAAATTATTAAATCTTCATATTAAATTATGTTAGCATCTGTTAACCTAGTTGGAGTGTCTTACGTTTTTGTTAATGATAATGTTTGAGGTAATGACAACACAACAACATAACTACATAAAAGTGGTGACTGATCAACCGACCAATTACTATTCAAATCTTGACTAAATTAATAGTAATGATTAGTCTTTTGTTAATTGATTGGGAACTATAAATAACTTGGGAATTAATTGGTCTAGTGTGGCTTATGAAAACTAATTGATTATTGAATCAATTATGTTTTTTATATCAAGGATCCCTACAATCAATTGCAAAATCAATTGTGATATTTGAATCTCCCTTATATTCTCATGGATTGCATAATCAATTGTGATTGTTCAAAACCCTGCTTACTAATCGATTGTATAATCAATTGTAGTCTTTGAATCCAATCGATTTTGCAATCAATTATGATTTTTCATTCACTCTTATATGCTATACCAATTGAATACACAATTAATTGTGTTTGAAATTTTAAAAGTTATGATGTTTTGTTAATGTTATGATTTTCGGAACAAAATTACAATCAACGTGCTATGTTATGATTCATTGGTAAAAGTTATGATATTTTGTTAATGTCGTTATGATTGTGGGAAAAAAAGTTAAATCAATGTGTTATGATTCATTAGTAAAAGTTTTGATTTGTACTACCAAAAGTTATGATTTGTTATGGTGAATTATAATAAAAAATGTTATGATAATTTGTTAGAAATAACTATATTTGTTATGAGTCGTTGCCATATTGTTATGATTGATAGTGTCTTTGTTATGACACCGTAATGCATATTATGACATTGTTATAATTCATTATAGTAATTGTTATGATGTTTAAAAAAAGTTATTATTCTTTCATGTAACTTGTTAAATGACCTGTTCAGCAAGTTACTTTTTATGTCGTGGCACAATATGGACAACACAATAAGTGCATGTCATATGCCCTTTTAGAAGGTGCACATTGTAGACTTTTCCGAAATTAAAACATGAAATGGAGTTGGCATTGATAATTGACAGAAAATGAAAGTATATTTGTTTAAATAAGGAGAAACGACTTGGAAAATATCCGTCAAACTACGTCATCTAAGGGCACAGCACCAAAGCTGTCAATCGCCTCACAGCACCCAACCCTCTCCCTGGCAAAACCCTACTCTCGCTCATCTTCTCTCTCTCTCTCTCTCTCTCAGCAACATGATCGGCGGCGAGATTGTTCAATGGTATGCTTCTTCTCTTATGGTTTCATTCATGATTCTCTCTTCTTCAACACAAATTCCTTCCAGGAAAAGTGATTGAAATAGAAACCTTTTTTTTTTCACGAATTCTTTCATTTCCAAGAGCCAAACATAAGATCTATGGATTTTTTTTTTTTTTTTCCATCAGTTAATCTTTTTACTGCTTTTCTGTTTTAGAACATTCATTTTAAACTCATTGCGATTTATTTATAATTTTAAAGATAGTAAAGTTTGTTGAAGATTATATGCAGCTTTATATTACAGGATTTATACCCTATTTTGGGAAGGCTCTGAATTTCTTACTTATTTCCTGGATGCATGCATACTACTGCTTTGAGTATGTGTTGAATTTGCTGATCCTGTTTTTTGTTTGTTTGTTTGCACCTGCTTTTAGCTATATAATTGCCAATTGACATTTATAACATCTCAGGTACAAATGGAATTTCTCTGGATTGAGTTTGGACAAAAGGCTTGACTTCTTTGAATCCAACTGGATATTTTTTGCTGGTTTTGGTAAATTTTCCTATTCACTGGGCATTTAAGTGGTGATTCTCAAAAACATGTTGGATTTATATATTTTCATGGAATTGATGGTCAAAATTTTAGACTTATTCACCCCCTCCTTGGGGGGGGGGGGGGGGGGGAATTGTGTGGATGTAGGTTCCAGTTCTTGATTTTTTACATTCACCGATTTCACATTTCATGACATATTGTACAGTCTCAGGTTGTACTGAGGCCGGGTTCACTTTGGCTAGTTATTTTTGCCTATATCAATCTAACATGGATGCTCTATCACTTCTTAGGATTTTCTTGCTCGTAGTTGCCTAGTTGACAGAAGCAAGAGTGGGTTAAAGAACAGCTTGATTAAAAAATGGGGTCCATTTCCAATTTGCCACTTGATTGAGTTGATTGATATGATACCTACTGCATGGCCTTAGAAGTGGAACAAATAAAATGCACAATATTAGAAGTCTGAGAACTTTGAGGAAGAGTTTCATTGCTGAATAATTTAGGTTATGAAATTTTTTTTTTTTCCTCATGAATTTTATGCTTAAACAGCTTCAGCTCCAATGCCATGGCTGAACAATAGGATTAAGTGCCTTTGGTTGCCTTGGTTCTCCAGGATGCTGGAATATTTTTGATATTTTTATCAAAGTTTTAACCTTTATGTTGATTTGGTGTTTCTTTCAGGTTCAATCTTCTTATTTGAGAATATAGCAAGATGAATTTCGTGTCATCACTTTGTAGAAGATTGAATCTCAATGAGCTAGTTACAAATGTTCCTATCTACAGCACTGCTAGTGGTAATGTTTTCCTGTTACTTTGTAGAATTTGATATTTCTGTAAATTGTTGGTTTGTTGCTTTATTGACCTTTCTATTACATTTAATTTAGATGTTACTGGAGGAGGATTGAGTTTGACATTCAGGCGCTGGGCTACTAAAAAGACAGCAGGATCCACAAAGAATGGGCGAGACTCAAAACCAAAGAATCTTGGGGTGAAGAAGTTTGGTGGAGAGGTGAGTCAAATACTGACATCATATTTTTCCTATTCATATAAACCTTTATTACATCATTAAGTATATTGTCATCATTGTGCAGAGAGTGATTCCTGGGAATATCATTGTTCGCCAAAGAGGAACCCGCTTCCATCCAGGAAACTATGTCGGAATGGGGAAGGATCACACCCTCTATGCTATGAAGGAAGGTTGTGTCAAGTTTGAACGGCATAAGTTGAGTGGACGAAAGTGGGTGCATGTTGAGCCCAAGGAAGGCCATCTGCTCCACCCTGCCTACTCAAGTGCTGATGCGGCTCCTAAGCTGAAGACCATTGCTTAAGTTTCTACATTTTTGTGTTCATTAATGTTAAATATTTGATGCTCTACTTTGGTGGCCTGAGCTTGTACAACTCATGCCGAATCTGAATTTTTGCAGGCAAATTGTGGTACTCATCTATTGGACTAAAAAAATGGTTACCTTGGCATGTCATCGCCACGGGCCGAGATTTGGAGAATAAGGGTAATTAGGTAACATAACAAGGGCTGACTTTTTTATTTCTATTTTTATTTTTATAATAATTATGTAAAATCCAGAAATGGATATACAGTAGCAACTTAATTCCATCAATGAAAGACATTGGTTTCATAGACAGACTACTATCTCTTATCAATTAAGTCAGTTTTTGCTTGTATATTATCTTGAATATCAAACGTGAAAGCCAAGATATTTTATAATTGCCCTTCACTATTATATCAATCATTGGTAGTTTTTTTATTTTATAATAATAATAATTATTATTTTTAACGAGGAGTGCGGTGAGAATAAAGAAATGAGAAGCTGCCTTGCGGATGGGTAAAACTCAAATTGGAATATCACGGCTGATAAAAAAAAAAAAAAGCGCCTCATTTACTAGACCTACTAGTCTAATTTTGTGCCTATTTTAGGATAGATGTATATATCATTATCTGTACTTTCTAATGTGTGCCTATTTTAGGGTAGATTTATATAAGATTATCGCTACTTTATACCCATCAAAATAACAATTACGAAAAAATTGTTGGACTTCTTTTGTGTTGAGCTATATATATTTACAAAAACGAAAAAAACAAGAGTAGAGCATTTATGAGTTCTTTACAAGCTATAGAGAGAAGAAAACTCGGGAATCATATAAATTATTTATTTTATTATTATTAATCTGAAATCAACAATCTTTGAGAAATCTTGTTTTCTGATGCACTCAACTGCTCACTTCCCACTGAGCACTCAGCTGTTTGATTATCAGAAGAAGAATAATCATTTACAGAAAAATCAACCAAAGTCCTCTCTATGGAGCCATCAGTTTGACAATCAGATGGGTAGTTATCTGCGACACCGGATTCAAATCTCTGGCGCCTCTCCACTGCAGCACGAACCCTCCGATCAAATTCTTCATTGGTGCCCGGTAACATGTAGCGCAGTTTAAAATTTATCCGATTCTCCACCAGAATCTTGTGCCTTGGCATTATTCGACCGTCAAGGGAATAGCTGAAGAACCTGTACGTATTATCCTTTGCATAATCAAGAAACCAGATGATAATAAATTGGCAAACTGATAAACTATGAATAAAGATTATTCAACCAGAAAGAAATTATTGACACCTCCAAAATGCATAAGACCATGTTCTAATTCTATTGAAATGTCTTATCAACAATAACTTAGCTTGATCATTGAACTAAATTTAAGAAATATAATTTATATTATGAAAACAAAAAAGAAAAAGAAAAAAACTGATCATCAGCAAGGCTCACCTTGGAAACTCAATGAGATCCTTCAAAGGGCGTACCATAATCCTCCGCAAATATCGGTACTTGGGACGAAGGACATTTTTAACGAGGAGTGCGGTGAGAATAAAGAAATGAGAAGCTGCCTTGCGGATGGGTAAAACTCAAATTGGAATATCACGGCTGATAAAAAAAAAAAAAAAGCGCCTCATTTACTAGACCTACTAGTCTAATTTTGTGCCTATTTTAGGATAGATGTATATATGATTATCTGTACTTTCTAATATGTGCCTATTTTAGGGTAGATTTATATAAGATTATCGCTACTTTATACCATCAAAATAACAATTACGAAAAAATTGTTGGACTTCTTTTGTGTTGAGCTATATATATTTACAAAAACGAAAAAAACAAGAGTAGAGCATTTATGAGTTCTTTACAAGCTATAGAGAGAAGAAAACTCAGGAATCATATAAATTATTTATTTTATTATTATTAATCTGAAATCAACAATCTTTGAGAAATCTTGTTTTCTGATGCACTCAACTGCTTACTTCCCATTGAGCACTCAGCTGTTTGATTATCAGAAGAAGAATAATCATTTACAGAAAAATCAACTAAAGTCCTCTCTATGGAGCCATCAGTTTGACAATCAGATGGGTAGTTATCTGCGACACCGGATTCAAATCTCTGGCGCCTCTCCACTGCAGCACGAACCCTCCGATCAAATTCTTCATTGGTGCCCGGTAACATGTAGCGCAGTTTAAAATTTATCCGATTCTCCACCAGAATCTTGTGCCTTGGCATTATTCGACCGTCAAGGGAATAGCTGAAGAACCTGTACGTATTATCCTTTGCATAATCAAGAAACCAGATGATAATAAATTGGCAAACTGATAAACTATGAATAAAGATCATTCAACCAGAAAGAAATTATTGACACCTCCAAAATGCATAAGACCATGTTCTAATTCTATTGAAATGTCTGATCAACAATAACTTAGCTTGATCATTGAACTAAATTTAAGAAATATAATTTATATTATGAAAACAAAAAAGAAAAAGAAAAAGAAAAATACTGAACATCAGCAAGGCTCACCTTGGAAACTCAATGAGGTCCTTCAAAGGGCGTACCATAATCCTCCGCAAATATCGGTACTTGGGACGAAGGGCGTCTATATTGTAGCGGAGTAGCATGGGAAAATCAGCTATCATCTCACCCAATAATCGAAGAGGAATGCCAAGTGACAGAAAATATTTCACATTAACATCCAGCTTATGTGCTATGCTGCACCCCAAGAGCTCTGGCGCCAAAGCTATCACCTTTCCAATATCCCTCTGGGTGACTCCAGCTTTTGTCAACAAGAATACAACCTACATGAAATTCAAATATCAATCACTCTTAAATTGTCATGCATTTTTCAAGGTTCGAAAACATAGCCTAAGATAGTTCTAGGTGCAAAATCATACTTAAATCCATCACTATCAGCAGACGGGAACAATTAATAGTCATGACATAATATGCTCTACAGAATATATCTAAGCTAACTTGATTTTCTTTAGAAGTATCAAAGCTAGTTACCTTTAAAAATTGAAATGACAGGAACAAAAATAAAAGAAAAGAACAAACCACGGGGCGGATTTTCTTGTAGAGGCTGTACGTCAGTAATGGAGGAAACTTGACAAGCATGTTGCCTATGGCATCTTCTTTAACACCTATGTCGCGTAAAAATTGTACCTTCACAAGACGGGAAAAACAATCTGTGTAATAAAAGCTTGACAACAATGCTGCATAATTTCAGCATGTATCATTTTGGGTTAATTGTAATACACGCACATAAATAAAAATGTGAACAAAACTGAGAAAAGGAATCCTTGGGGTCAGCCGCAAAAGTAGCCTTTCAACATATTTTCCGTTTACAATAGATTTCAATCATGTGATGCAAAGCACAAGAAGTGAAAGCATACCTTTGGCACGATGGTGCTCTCCAAATCAACACAGAAAACCATTGGTTTGATAGTAAGTATTCTCCTCATACCATCTTTGGAAATCCCAAGGTAGTATAGATACTTGACAAGTGGCTTCCATCTTTCCTCAATGCTGCAAGCCATCAGTTGTGGCTTAAAAGCTAGTAATCTACCAACATCTTCATTGCCAAGGCCAAATTCCATGAGATAACCTACCTGAACGAAGAACGCAAAATGTCTCGCTATTTTAACTAAAAAATGGCTAGTGGTTACTCAGTAGTTATTGTAAAAGAATGTTCCACTGAAACCAATCTTAGTAGTAGTTAGATGGTGTTTGGTGCTTTGGATCAGAACAATGGGAAATTGTTTATAGGAATACCTGCACTCACATTTTTCTTCGGGAAAAGATCCAATAAGTTCTATTTTTCTAATGAAGTTTCCATTGAGTCCTGTTAACACATGAGTCAATAGTACTTGTTTGATATTTTCCCTTTTTCTTTCTCTTACTTTGGAAGAAATGCTAATAAGAGAGCAATAACGGCAATATAATAAAAAAACATTGTGGTAAGCAACTAGTCACCATAAATAATAAGAATTGTTAAGATTAGTAACTATCGACAAATTACCGATACTCCTATTACTTCATACATGAGAGCTCACATCATCAAAATTTGAAGTTGCAAAAGGGTATAAATAAAGCTGGATGAACCATAGATTAATACCTTTTGCTTCATCTCTTCCATAGAGAAGTAGCCAAGCACCTGGGGATAATCGAAAACCATTGTTCCAAAATCTTTATCATTCATACCCATATCCAAGTAGAATTGCACCCGAGACTTCAGTTCGTCCATACTGTAAGACAACAACCAAGGACATCGGCTCACGACATAACCCATCCAGTCCCTCCTCACACCGTTGCTTTCTAGATAACCAACAATCTCATCCAATTCTTCATCACTGAGCTCCAAAATATTCTCTCCTGCTTTCACCAATGCAACCCCGATAAATCTCCCCTTCACATTAATTGATTTCAACCAATCAGCAACATGCCTTATGGCATCAAGATTTCCTCTTGACATGCATATGAGCTTCCCAATTTGAGGATATGACAGTGAATTGTGTTTCAACCACCTATACAATTCAGTAACCACAAGAAGAAAGGCAAGTCTTAGTATTTATTCCCTTCCTTTTCATTTCTACTATGCATGGAGCCAAGTTGAAGAATCAAAAATCATACTGCAAATGAAACTATTCTGATAAATTTGTTGGGTTTTGTTTTTGTCAAATAATATTCATGATAAACTAGGACTAATCGTGAATTTGCTATACCACAAAGAAGACATGGATATATATACATATATATGCATAAATATAGGTTGATTTCACTTTTATTCTCTAAAATATTGTTATTTTTTCATCCTTAAACTATCAATTTCTTCTATTTAGTCTCTACAATTTTTAATTTTAGTTAATACAGTCTAATTGGAGACTGCTGTCCAAATCAATAACCATTAAAGCCTAATTTGATTGGCAAAAAGATCATTTTAAAATTTAAACAAATTAACCCACACAATCAACCACTCATTTTCTTACTCACTATTTTGAAATGATTGGTGGAAAATAAGATGAGTGTTTGATTGTAGGCTACTAGTTGTTTAATATAGTGTGAGTAAGAAGACAAGTATTTGGTTATATGATTTACATTGTCTAAATTGCAAAATTTTACATTTTTGCTCATTAGCTTAGTTTTCAAACGTCATTGATTTCAACAAGTTGTCTTCAATTGGATTATATAAACTGAAATCAGAAACTCGAACGACTAAACAGATGAAATTAACAATTCAGAAACAAAATATAAAAAAAAATACAATAATTTAAGAATAAAAGTGAAAATTAATCCATAACTATGTATCATCAAAGCAAGTTTTCTTAGGTGGATTGGTCATTGTACCTGATAAGTGGGACAACATTAGACTCATCAATGAATGTTTTGGCACGAACATTGAATGTAGATTGTGAATATTCATCCAATTGCTTCATGGAAGCAGCTTTAATCATCACGAAATCAATAAATTCAGGTAACCTAGAAACCAAATTGGTAGAATAAGTAATCCCAAACTTGCCCTTTCTCATCGCTTCCTTGAAAATCTCCACCGTCACGGTGCGCCGAATCTCAACCGCCCTGAATATCATCTCTTCATCTTCAGCGCCGGCGAATAGGCTGCGAAGAGGCGGCAGAGAAGAGCTCACATCGGCGTCGCTTGGGGACTGTATGTAGATAGCGCCTGGAAATTGAGGGGTTCTTTTGCGTACGAGAGAGATTTCCAGAAGCTTCACTCTGTCTTCTTCGGGTATGGAGTGAACTTGTTCGGACCCAAGGGGTTGAGATTTGGGTTTTGGTTGTTGTTGTTGTTGTTGTTGTTGGGTTGACAGGTGGTGGAGAAGGAAGGCTGTTGATTTGTCGTTGTGCTTTCGGAATATTTCTTTGGAGGTGGTGGTGGTGGTGTCTGGGTTTTGATGGGTTTCGTGGTGGTGATGATGATTGGGAGAAGATGAAGAGATGGGGAAGAGGTGGGGGAGTCTGGTGGTGGTGGTGGTGGTGGTGGAAAAGGGGAGGAGGAGAGTGGTGGTGGAATTGGGGTTGTGGGTGGAGACATGGATTTGGATGGTGGGGTGGTAGTGAGGAGAAGATAACATCTTAGAAATGGGAAACTGATAGACTGGCTCCACTGGATAATAATAAGCGGGGTAAATTACACATTTATTAAAATATCTCTATGGTTGATTTAATTTTAGAATCGATTATTTTAGTAATTTTTTTATAAAAATTATAAAAAAATAAAAATAAAATTAGTGTGTTTAGTTTCAATTTTTTAAATTTAATTTTTTAAAAATTAAGTTTTTTATTTTTCGTATTTTTTTTAAATTTTTGGTGAATATTTTTAAAATTTTAAGTAATTTTTTTTTTTATTTTTTTAGATACACCTTACTTAGATGTATCTAAATAGTAAAATATTTGTGAAAAAATATTTTTTGTATTTTTTGATATTTAGTGATTTTTTTAATTTACAAATATTATGGCTTTGTTTGGTTTGTATTTGAGAAACATGCTTTGAGATAAAAAAATACGAAAATTTGTTTGGTTTGGTTTTTTTTCAAAAGATGTTTTGAAAAATTATTTTGAGAGAGAGTTTTGGAAAAATTGATTGATTTGATGTGTATGAGAGAGAGATTTGTTTGGAAAATTTGTAAATCAAACAAGTTTTGGAAAAAAATTTTGGAAAAATTTGTTTGGTTTGATTACTTTTGAAAACTTATTTGTAGAGAATTTTTCTCAAAATTTTTTAAGAAACACAAACCAAACAAGGCCTATACTTTTTAAGTGTATTTATGTCAAGTATATCTATAATTTTTTTAAAAAATTATTTAAAATATTAAAAAAATTATTAAATATATTAAAATACAAAAAATGAAAAAAAAAATTAAAAATTATTTTTTTAAAATCAAAACCAAACAAGTTGAATGATAATATAATAATTTATAGTATTTTTTTTTGATTAAAATTAAAAGTTAACAGACGAGACTCAATTTCTTAAACTTTAAATCATGTCACGGGTTAGATAGTTTGACCTCAGCTCGCAACTATCGTGTAGGCATGGCGTCCCAGCATGGTGAGTTTGTCCCTAACTAATTAACGCGTGTTCTGTGCCTTTGTGTGCACGCCTGCCCGTGTTACAAGCCATTGGTGACATTTTTATAAATTCCTATTATTAGGATTTATTAGGATTATTGAATTATTTTATTACATTCCCCAAACATGTGAAATATTTTCTTATATCAATTTAAAAAGAGTTTAAAATATTATTATAAGGGGATATGTCGTGCTATAACTTATCTTCTCAATGTGATAGATTACAAATAGATATTTTTAGGTTAGATATGATTTTAGAACCCTAATGACTTGGCAATAATAATAATAAAAAATAAGACACAAATACTACATCATTGTGAGATCCATACACCATTAGAGCTCTCTAGAACTCCAATTTTAGAACTCTTAGGTTGCGTTTGGTTGTGTTTTATAATTATGATTTGAGAGTATGAGTTGTATTTTGAGTTTGTGGGGTTTAGAATTATAATTTGAGTGTAGAAAATTTGTTTGGTAAAGAGTTTTGAAAATAATTTTGAAAAGAGTTTTGATTTGAGTAGAGAATTGTTGATGTGACATTTGATATTTGATATAAAAATTTACAACTCATACAACTCAAAATTATTTTAAAGCACATAAAATTTTTTAAAAATCTAAGAAAATATTTTTTTGGATTATATATCAATTGCAAAAAAAAAAAAATTGTTAAAAAAAAATTGTTAAAAAAAAAAAAAACCACTATTTCTGTCAACCGACCGGACGATCGGCCGGACATCCCGTTTTGAAAAAAAAAATTGGAACATGCACTTTGTTTTGACAGAACAGACAGAGCATTCTGCAGAGCTGTGAAAAATTAATTCTACAGCTCCTTCCAAATACCATACTCAAACTATCACGTTGAATCACATTTTGAAACCATAACCAAACAGAACCTTCGTCTTCTTTCCATCTTTGGGTAACCAAAGTACGGACATCTAACATACGACTAAGAGGTGTCATTGGTCACCATGTGGAGTTGGAAACCTCATGGATAGTGTCATCGATAGGAATAAATGTCAAATGTTAATTTTATTGTTCTGTCTATTTATTGTTGATAAAGTTGAGAGAGGTGACTGTAATAATATATTTTTTATATTATGTGACAATTAACGTAAGATTTTTTTAAAAGATTTGATCAAAATCTCCTTATAATAAAATCTTAATTAAGAACAAGTATACGGAAATTTTTTCTTTGAAAGGTCCTACAAATATCACTCTTATTAAAATATTAAATTTTAAAATAATATAACTTTTGATATAAGTGTCGGTTTTAATAAAATTAATATTTTTAAAATTTTATCATCAAGATCTATCAAATAAGATCCGTGTTGACTATGAAATTCATTATAAAAAAAAATTATTACAATTGAAATTGATGTAAACAGTAATAGTAATATGTTACTCTATTTGACAGTTATATGTTACTCCCTCTGTCCCAAAATATTGGTCCCTTTTGGGGAATCCAACTTTTTTTGGTAGTACACTTATTGCATTTGAAAAAAGTTAGTTTTCCAAAATTACCCTTTTGATAGTATATTTTTTGGGAATATCAATGTCATAATTGTACTTTTTAAATTGTTTATTAATTTAAAAGAAGGACAAAATAGGAAATTTACATTATTTTTGTACTTGATTTATAAAGAGGGACTAATATTTTGGGACAATGAAAAATGAAATAAGGGACTAATATTTTGGGACGGAGGGAGTACTTTGTTTGACAATTATTCTATTTGACAGTAATATGTTACTCTGTCTTATAATAACATAACATTGTCCAAGAAAAAAAAGAAGAAGATATTTTACTTTGTCATTATTCAATTATGTGCTTTCTTTTTAGAGAGTTTATGAAGAAAAATAAATGGGGCTTCATTTTCCCCAAACAATGGTTCAATGGGGGGTTTTGACTAAATTTCTCCATTTTTTTATTATTATCTAATTTTAAATATAAATTAACTTTAATAATAAATTGAGAAAATTTTGAGATAATGAAATATTGGAAAAAAAGAAACTTTAAAAGTCAAAATTAAGAAGTGGCCTATTTTGTCAACTAGGTTAAAAGGTATTTTTTTTATTTGTTTGACTTTTCTAAGTTATATTACCTTTTCATTTTTCTACCCGTTTTTAAAAAAAAAGGTCAAAAAAAAAAATCAAAGAACTAATTTTTTTCCCCCTAATTCCAAAAATGGGGCAATTTTTTTGTTTGTTTGTTTGTTTGTTTGTTTTATTTTTTAAAAAACATGCAAAAACAAAAAATAGAAATATACTGTAACCTAAATTAATCAAGAAGTCAATAAATTGTCTGTTTTTTTTAAAATTGCCAAAACACACCTAAACAAAGGCGACAAAGTGTAATTTAAAAAAAAAAAACAAAAAAAAACAAAAAAAAATGAATCAAAAGTGTGGAAAAATAAAAAATTTATGAATCAAATTAATTTGAGGACAAAATCGATAAGGGAAAGGCGTAATTTAGCAGAAGACAGGCCCTCGGAATTTGATTGTTGTGATAGAGCGAGCTGTGTGATCGAGCGGTGAAGACGCTGGGATCGTGTGAGTCGCAGATCATCGGAATGTCAAAATCTCCTTATAATAAAATCTTAATTAAGGACAAGTATACGAAAAGTTTTTCTTTGAAAGGTACTACAAATATCACTCTTATTGAAATGTTAAATTTGAAAATAATATAACTTTTGATATAAATGTCAGTTTTAATAAAATTAATATTTTTAAAATTCTATCATCAAGATCTATCAAATAAGATCCGTGTTGACTATGAAATTCATTTTAAAAAAAATTATTATAATTGAAATTGATGTAAACAGTAATAGTAATATGTTATTCTGTTTGACAGTTATATGTTACTTTGTTTGACAATTATTCTATTTGACAGTAATATGTTACTCTGTCTTATAATAACATAACATTATCCAAGAAAAAAAAGAAGAAGATATTTTACTTTGTCATTATTCAATTATGTGCTTTCTTTTTAGAAAGTTTATGAAGAAAAATAAATGGGGCTATCATTTTCCCCAAACAATGGTTCAATGGGTGGTTTTGACTAAATTTCTCAATTTTTATTATTATTATCTAATTTTAAATATAAATTAACTTTAATAATAAATTGAGAAAATTTTGAAATAATGAAATATTGGAAAAAAAGAAACTTTAAAAGTCAAAATTAAGAAGTGGCCTATTTTGTCAACTAGGTTAAAAGGCAGTTTTTTTTTATTTGTTTGACTTTTTTTAAGTTATATATTATATTTTTATTTTTCTACACGTTTTTATAAAAAAAAGTCAAAAAAAAAAATCAAAGAACTAAATTTTTTTCCCTAATTCCAAAAATGAGGCAATTTTTTGTTTGTTTGTTTGTTTAGTTTTTTTAAAAAATATGCAAAAAAAAGAAAAAAAAGAAGTATACTATAACCTAAATAAATCAATAAATCAAGAAGTCAATAAATTGTCTGTTTTTTTAAAATTGCCAAAACACACCTAAACAAAGGCGACAAAGTGTAATTTAAAAAAAAAAAACAAAAAAAAACAAAAAAAAATGAATCAAAAGTGTGGAAAAATAAAAAATTTATGAATCAAATTAATTTGAGGACAAAATCGATAAGGGAAAGGCGTAATTTAGCAGAAGACAGGCCCTCGGAATTTGATTGTTGTGATAGAGCGAGCTGTGTGATCGAGCGGTGAAGACGCTGGGATCGTGTGAGTCGCAGATCATCGGAATGATACGAGCGGTGATTGTGATGAACGACCAAGGCAAGCCTCGCCTTGTCAAATTCTACGATTATCAGGTTCCTCTTTCTTCCCTCTCTATTTGTTTCCCTAGAAAATCAACTACAAAGAAAATCTTAGATTTCTAATTATTGATCAAGGATTTCAGATCTGAATTTTAATTTCTTTGCAACTAAACTGTTCCAAAGTTCCCTATGTTGATCGATTGTGGTTTGAATTGTAAGGTTAGCCTGTGGAGAAGCAACAGGAGCTGATCCGGAGTATTTATGGAGGTTTTTAGGGTTTCTCTCTCATCTCTGGCTTTTACTTTACATATTTCTTTAGGGTTTGTCATTTTTTCTGTTCAATAATTATGATCCATCTCGTATTTCACAGTAATGTTGTGTTGCTTTGGTTACACTGAACAATTGCCATGGAGTTAGGGTTTATATTGGGTTCTAAGCCAAGTTACCTATTTTGGTAGTAGTTTTCGACTGGTTCTGCAGCATTATTTTCTTTTTAATAAAATTCTTTTTGTGTTCTGTGATACTTCATTTGATTTCACTGTTGATTTTTGTTAGATTATTAAAAATTATTTGTTCTACATTGTTAGTGAACTAACTAAATCAATAGTGTCATATATATACATGTATACATGTATTTCAACATATGCACACAAATCTGATCTAGAAGTACTGTATGCTCATAATGTTAGTAGGGGTGGGTGTGGATCGGTTGCGGTCACGAAACCTTCAATCCGTCATCCGTCCGGTAGATTGGCGGATTGAAAAAAATCAATCCGCATTCATCCGCCGGATTGGCGGATGTGGATTGGCGGATCAATACGAATCGATTTGGCGGTTGAAAATTTTACAAATTTAAAATTTTCAATATAATTTAATTGTGCACTTCCTTAAAAACACTACATGAGCAATGCAATATTCACAATCACATCTATGTGTTATGAAAATAACCTGGGCAGTGGGCATAATTAAAAACAATTGTGCATCCAACAAACAACTTGGGTAGTGGGCATCAAGGTTTTAAAAAGCGGCCGCAACCGTTACGTGACGTTGTTACATAACGGTTGTGGTAGTTATCTTCACCCGTTATGGCTGCTTTTGCAGTGTGATTGAGATTCACAGGTGTGTCAGCTGTAGCCGCTGTCGTAGCGGTTGTAACGGTGCCGTAACGGCCGTAACAGCCTGTTACGCACCGTTACGTAACGATTCCGAACTGTTTCTTTCGAAGAAAAAAAAGAGAGTTGAAAATGGGGGAAGAGAGATAGAGAGAGAACAGGAAAAATGAAGAGGGAAGATGGAGGAGTAAGAGAGAGAGAGAAGAGGGAAGATGTAGAATATATTATTGATTTGTTGAAACTCTAAATGCTATTCTAATCAGTTGCTATCACTCAACCATTTTTTTTGTGTGGGTCTATCTATATATTGTTTGAAAATAATAATAATAATAATAATAATAAGTGTGGTTATTATCTATTTGGCTTGATTAAAATATATATATATTTAGATTCTTATTTATTCTCTTATTTTTGTCATTGTTTATCTTATATATAATAGGTAGTGATTGATTTTTTTTGTAAAATCTCTAAAAGCATAACACCTATAGTTATATATCAATACATATTTTGTACATGTCAATTTTTTTTGATTAGTTTATTTTATTTTTATTTACAAGTTATCCAAAAAGATAATGAATATTAAAGTGATCCAAAAAACAAATTCTTTATAGCTTATTTTTTAATTTTTATATGATTAAATTAGCATGTATAATTTATTTTTTAAAACTATTCAAGTTAAAATTTGCATATGCTTCCACAAGTATAATAATTAAAAAAATAATTTTATACATCTAAGCCCAATATATATATTTTTTTGCTACAAGCGTAATATGTATTTATGACATATAAAGTCATTAATGATTAAAATAAAATGTAAAAAACTCATTTTATAGTGATTTAAAAATATGAAATTTATTGGATCATACTTAAAAAATTACAAAAATTGATTAATATTTATTTTAAAACTAAATAAATATGATTATGGAAAAAAAAAATATGCGTATCGGTAAGTTTTTTCCAAATTGTACGAAAAATAAAAAAAATTCACGATTTCGGTTATCACAACCGTTACGCTACGGCCTTTGCATACCGCAACCGCGCCACCGCCACCGCCACCGTTATGGCGACCACAACCGCTTTTCAGAACCTTGGTGGGCATAATCCAACAAATTAAAGTCATCCAAAATGAAAGTTATGAAAATATTCGCAATCACATCTATGTGTTATAAAAATAACATCTTATGAAAATAACTTGGGCAGGGGGCATAATCCAACAAATTAAAGTCATCCAAAACAAGAGTTATGAAAATATGGACAATCACATCTATGTGTTATGAAAATAACCTGGGCAGTGGACATAATCCAACAAATTAAAGTCATCCAAATCAGGGGGCAAATTGTTATGAAAATACAAACCTCAGGGGGCGGGATGTAATTTCCGAAACCTCAGGGGGTATCTGTAATTTAGTCAAACCTCGAGGGGGGTATATGTAATTTGCCCAAATAACATCTTATGAAAATAACTTGGGCAGGGGGCATAATCCAACAAATTAAAGTCATCCAAAACAAGAGTTACGAAAATATGGACAATCACATCTATGTGTTATGAAAATAACCTGGGCAGTGGACATAATCCAACAAATTAAAGTCATCCAAAACAAGAGTTATGAAAATATTCACAATCACATCTATGTGTTATGAAAATTACCTGGGCAGTGGGCATAGTCTAACAAATTTAAGTCATCCAAAACAAGAGTTCAAAAAAATAAAAAAAATTACAGTCATCCAAAACATTGTGCATCTAACAAACATTGTGCATCCAAACAATAGTATTATAGTCATCCAAAAAGAAGTAAAAAAGCAATTCATTTCCGTGAGCCAAACCATGAGCCATCTAAACCTGGGCTTGAAAACACCAAAAAGTCTTAAACTCAAAACAAGTAAACATATGTGAACAACATTTACCAATGATATTAAACTTCAATAAAACTACTCTCCGGACTTGGGCTTGAACATGAACTTGATTCTGAAACAATTACACATAAAATACAACATAACGAAAACATGTGAAGTGAAGATAATGAATCTTGAATAATACAAAATAAATGAAATTTAAAACAAAATAAATCATTGTATATTACCCGAATCATATTGTTATTCAAATTCTTTAACATCATCCATTGCTTGTCGAAGGCATAATAGAATGTTACTTCGGAGCCAATTTTGTGTACAAACAAGAACCTCCACCATCTTGAGAGCAAGTGAACTACGCATTGAAATGCCACCACTGCTGTTCCTTTAATTTTTTGTGATTGTTTGTGAATCTCCACTTGATTGCAATTCATGAATCTATTAAAACATAAATCACAGTGAAGATAAAAAGAACAAGTACAAAATATCAAAGACAAAACAGAAGCATAAAAAATGAAAGTGTATAGTATTAGTAGAGATCTCAAAACAAATAAATCTGAAATTGAAGTGAGGGATTCCAAATTTCTCAAACCATCATTTTCATTTACATTACACTCATCACAAGTCCAAACAAATAATGATTTTGTCTCAGTCAAGAATACAAACATTATTGGAGAACTCAGAAAATTAGAGGAACAACCAAGGTTCTGAAAAGCGGTCGCGGTCGCCGTAACGGTGGCGGTGGCGAGGTTGCGGTTGCGGGGTGTAAAGGCCGTAGCGTAACGGTTGCGGTAACCGGAACTGTGAATTTTTTTATTTTTAGCACAATTTAAAAAAAATTTACCGATATGCATATTTTTTTTTCATGATCATATTTATTGGATTTAAAATAAATATTGATCAATTTTTGTAAATTTTTAAGTATGATCAAATATATTTTATATTTTTAAATCACTATAAACTGAGTTTTTTATATTGTATTTTAATAATTAATGACTATATTATACAAAAAATTCATCACTAACTATTATATATAAAATAAACAATGACAAAAGTAAGAGAATAAATAAGAGCCTAAATATATATATATATATATATTTATCAAAAAATAGATAATGACCACATTTATTATTATTATTATTATTATTATTATTATTATAAAAAAATATATAGATAGACACGCACAAACAAAATGGTTGAGTGATAGTAGCTGAATAGAATAGCATAGGTCTTACAGTTTCAACAAATCAATAGCATATTCTCCATCTTCCCTCTTCTCTCTCTATCTCTTGCTCCTCCATCTTCTCTCTTTATCTTCTCTCTTCTCTCTATCCCTCTTCCACCATTTTCAGCCTTTTTTTTGTGTGTTTTTTCGAAAGAAACAGTTTGGAACCGTTATGTAACGGTGTGTAACAGGCCGTTACGACCGCTACGGCACCGTTACGACCGCTACGGCAGTCGCTACAGCCGACACACCTGTGAATCTCAATCATACTACAAAAGCGGCTGTAACGGGTGGCGGTAACCACTAAAACCGTTACATAACGGTTGCGGTCACTTTTTAAAACCTTGGGAACAACAGATCAATCGTATAACAACAATCTTATGGTTTCTCTCTCTCTCTCTCTCATTAGAAGGATTTTTCAACCACACTTTATCAGAGAAAGGATAACCCAAACAGATTAATCTAAACAGACACAACATGTCCTGTCCCCAGTGTTGAGTCTACATTGGATATAGCCATCCATTGCAAATTGAATAAGAAGTCCAACAAGTCCAATATACAGTGTAATAACAGAACAGATTAATCTAATATTTTTTTCACTCTTGGATGCAAATTAATCTAATATTTTTTCTATGAAGTCCCTTACGAAATCCATTGCAGATAACAAGAAAATGAAACCTAACCTCTGTGGTTTTCTCTCTATAAGCTTGCTCTCTCTGTAAGTTTCCTCTCTTTGTGTGTGTAGAACCCTCACACTGTGAATCTCACCACCTCCCTAGTTTTAGAACTGGAACAAAACAAAACAAAAAAATAACAGATTAGACTTTAAAAGAGAGGTTTTCGAACTGGAACACACAAAAAAAAAAGAAAAAAAAACAGATTACAGATTGAGGAGAAGAAGAGAAAACATAGGTTTTCATTTTCATCTTCGAACTGGAACAAAACAAAAAGGAAAATAAATTTTTTTTTTTTAAAAAAAAGAATAGAATAGATTAGATCGCCTTCGAACTGGAACAAAACAGAACAGATTGAGGAGAAGAAGAGGAAAGTAGAGGGAAAAAGAGAAAAGAAGAAGAGAAGAAGAGGAAAGAAGAAGAGAAAAGAATATCTCACCTCGATTGCCGATTGCCTTTCAATGTAGATCGTCGTTCGCCGTTGTTGGCAGGACGATGGAGAAGATTGCCGTTGCTGTCAGTAGATGGGTAGGGTTTTTTGGAGAGAGAGAGAGAGAGAAGAGATAGAGAGAGAGAGAGAGCTTGTTGAAGAAAAGAAAAGGGCTGAGAGAGAGAGAGAGTGTGTGTGTGGTGTCTCTGTCTGGGCGTAATTACTTTTATTGTTTTCATTTTTTGTGTAAATAAACACTTTTTTTCCCTTCTTTTTTTGGTTTGTGTGGACAAATATCTATTATTATTATTATTATCTTTTGATTTTCCTAATCCAACAACAACAAAAAAACTTATTTTACGCTCCGTTTGTTTGGACGGAAAATATTATATTTTTTTCAGAAAATGTTTTATGGAGAAAATATTTTTCTATGTTTGGTGGTGGTTTTTTGGGGGTTGGGGGGGGGGTGGTGGCAATGGCTGTGGTGGTGGAGGTGAGAGTAGTGGTGGTGGTGTTGTAGTAACATTGGTAAAATTTTAGGCCAGAAGACCTTTTCTGCTTTTTAAAAGTGGAAAATATTTTTTGCCCAAATAGGCTTGTTTTCCATTGACATAGAAAATGACTTTCGTTTAGCATTACTTTTCCTGTCTTTTCCATCCATCCAAGATCCAAACATAGAGTAAATCTTGTTTTATAAAAAAATAGTTACTATTTTTTTAATTTGAATAAATTATTATTCATTAGTGTGTGTTTCATCATTTATTTATTTATTTTTTTCACAATGCAGTTCTGTGCAGTAGGGCTGAGAATGTGAGCAACTTTATTCAGGCTGATCCCATTTTTGGACCAGTATGTTGTTTTCATCACTCTACTTTTTCTATGATACATATATATACATTTATCAATGATTAGAGAGCATCATAGTTGGCAACAGTGAGTAAATGTGAACTGGTTCGACAATTATGTTGTGGACAGTTCTCTAAACAAAATATGTTTATCATGCTTTTACCAGAGTAGGTTTTTAGTAAGCTGAAAAATGGAGTTATGATTACTGAACAATGTTGTTGGATTAGGTAGGATACCATTCATTGATCAATTTGACTTCTTTAAGCTTTTAGAATGAGAACATCTCCATATTTTGTTATTGATCATGATATGAAGGTTCCGTTGGCTCCATGGTCCTGCTGTTTTTGTTTTCCTATTCAGCATGCCTATTGTTCCTCCATTGGCTTCTCAGGACTGAGAACTAGTAATGCAACCATACTCACAACTTCTGCATATAACTATATTTGAGGTCTGTAATAATCCAACCATGAGAATAAGTTGCTAAAACTCAGATTTGCAGTGACAAATTATAATTAGTTCCTTCAAAAGAAAAAAGTGTAACTAGTTTTTTCTGTTCCCAACTTGCTTGGAGTGAAAACGACTTTTCTTGTAAAAAATTAAGGGCAAACTTCACTTTGCCCCTTGTGGTTTGGGTCATGTGCGGTTTACCCTTTAATGTTTGAAAATGATCACATAACTTCGTTGTGGTTTGTGGACTAAAATGCATCGTTAGGCCCATTAATGATTTGATGAAAAAGACTAAAATACCGTTGTGTTTTGGTCATTTGTTTGGAAGGTAAAGTACATTTTAACCCCCCGTGTTTTATACCATGTGTGATTTATCCCATTTGAAAATTGAAAATGAGCATTTAACCCCCTTAAATTTGCCATGTGTTTCACACTTATTGTTAAATTGGACGGAATGTTAATGGTGCATTTCAGTCCACAAACCATGTGGGGGTTATGTAGTCATCTTCAAATGTTAGGAGGCAAACTGCACATGGCCCAAACCACAGAGGGATAAAGTGAAGTTTGCCCAAAAATTAAATTTAGAATATTACTCTAAATTGTGAGTTGGCTTGTTTTTGTGTTGATGGCTTAATAACCCCCTTGGCATCCAAGTTACATGACATGCTTGTCATTTTTTTTTTTTTTCTTAACTAGTTCCCAGTTAAAAGAGCTAGTAAATTTATGTTTCTATGGTCCCTTACTTGCAGGATGCTCGGCTTGTATACAAGACTTATGCCACGCTATACTTTGTATTCATATTTGATAGTGCCGAAAATGAGCTAGCAATGCTAGATCTTATGCAAGGTACATGGAAAGATTATCCTCAAATATTAAAATACTTAAAATTACTTCAGGGAAGGTTATAAGGTCTTGAAGGGTGTACAAGTTTACCAAAATAGCTAATTGTTACCATAGGAGTGCTTTTTGTAGTTATAAATGATATTCAAGGTATTTTATGGCTGAACAACTCTAAGAATAATAGCAAATTCATCTCTCAGTCATTTATTCTCACATTCTATAATCACCACACATTTTAACAAAATGCATACTGATCCGACCTTTTCTAAGAGATGTGATTATGCACCCATGGTTTAGGTCATGTCCTTCAGTTGAGGGGTCTTAACTCTTGGGTGGGCATTTCCTAGCTGGATGGTCAGAGCTTGTACAATTGTACATGTCATAAATTGCGTCTTCCTTTTTTTTGTTTCCATGTTCCATGCATTTTGATTCTAGGTTCATAGTATAACTTATTTTGGTATGCTTTTTTCTTGTTGCCTGACCTTCTTAAGACGCACTTAGACTTCCAAGGTCATTCAGCTGTTGCTCAATCTGTAATTGTGTGGGTTTTGAGTCAAATGGGAAGCAAGAGTAGTCAATAATTTGTTTACATATCTTGAAAGTACTAAATAACATAAACAGGCTTTTTCTTGGATGTCCTGAAAGAACTTAAGAACTGGTCAATAGCATGATACGCATTTACTTTTCACTGCCACATTGTTTTCTAGTTGGATATCTTGTTTCCTTAAACTTTCTGGCATTCGCAGTTTTTGTGGAGACATTGGACAAGTGTTTCAGTAATGTGTGTGAGCTCGACATTGTCTTCAACTTTAACAAGGTTGGCCTCGCTCTTTTCTCTTTATCCAAGTTCATGTGAAGGAGCATGTCTTTAGCAAAGCAATTGAACTGGCTTTCTCAGTTTATAATGTACTGGTCGGGCTCTGTGTGATTTGTTTTCACAAAGGTAGCACATCCAATGAGCTGATCATCAGTAACAGAGACCTATTTTGGCTTTTCTTGGGATTTCCAGAGGTCCACTGTCCTATCATCATTTCATGTTAACAATTGGGATGTGGATTCAACCTATGGATTAGTCTGCTAAATTTTCAGTTTTACAAACAACTTATGAAATTGTTGGTGGGAATAACATCTTGATGAGTTAGTATTATTAATTAACCTAACAATAAGAATAAGCAGAAGTCAATGGTTAAAAATCAATGTTGACTTCTTCAATGTGGAAAAGTTCACTTTCAGTGCATATTATTCATAGTCTTTTGAGCTCATGAACAATGCTAGCTATTTTTAAGTCTGAACTAGGTGTTGCTGGTGTCATTGCCCTCTTTTATGCATAATCTTTTCCAAACTCTCGAGATGAAATCTAGCAATATTGTATCACCTTTATGTGACGCTGGCAAGTTGTTAACCTTGAATGTGCTGTCCTAGCCTATGTCATTTTGACAAGTGCTTACTCAGCTTCTGTAATTTTTTAAAATATATATATATACATATATAAAGCTCCCTTTTCTGCTCTTCTACATTTGAGGACCTTCTCTCTTGTTTTATATATTAAGTACAAGCATGCATGTGCTAGCATGTGTATGTCATGTTCAACATTCGGCACTCAGTGGTCCAGTAACTGATTTGGCAGGTACATACTATTTTAGATGAAATTGTGTTGGGTGGTCAAGTTCTTGAGACAAGTTCTTCAGAAGTTATGAAGGCTGTTGAAGAAATCTCAAAGTGCTCTCTCTCTCTCTCTCTCCCTCTCCCCCTCTCTCTAGGCCAAAATAAAGTCCATGATACTAGCTACTGATTTTCTGCAGGTTGGAAAAGGCCTCGAATACAATTCTGGTTGTCCCAAAATCTATTCCTGGCTGGCATGCTCGATAGCACATGACTTCTCTAGTAAGCTCTTACCAGAATAACATTTTACATAGGTTAACTTGCAAGATTTCACTCCTTTAACCCTTTGATTTGACAATACTATAGACTTGGAAATAATCAAATCTCTCATGTCACTGGCTACACATGATCTAGGGAGAATTATGTGCACAAAAATGTGAATGTATAACTCCGTTTCGTATACAGTGCTAAAATGCATGATAAATGCCTGCCTTTCTGAAATGAAGCTTCTCGAAAAGAATGGACTCGTCATTATTGATGTCGCTACCATTAATATGCAATTCAAATGTAGATATCGTCTTCTTTAAAAGTCAGAATAATCTTGTATATAATCCAGATTGGACACATCAGTTCTGAGGATAAACAACATGGACTTATTATTTAACGATTTCATTTCCATAGGACACCAATCCATGTTATGCAAATAGCAATTTATCATAATTCTTTCATCATGCTTCAGTTGGTATTGACAATGAAGTTTCAATAAAACTTTGATCTTTTACTTGAATCACTCTGCCTTACATTCACTATGTATGCCTTTATGCTTCTTTTGTGTATGTGCCCGTCAAAGTTTTGCTGAACACTAGTATGTAAATAGGAATGTGCCTATTGGAACTTCCAATGCTTGGAAGGAAAATAATAGAAGGAAAATAATAGAGTAATTTACAGATAATGTTAGCAACCAACTGTGGATTCTATAATTAGTGTTTCAAAATTTGTTTGTTTATTGATGTCTATGAAATTGATGCTGATATAGGCAGGTGGAGGATGATAGAAGGAGAGAAAGCAAGCATGCTGAAGGAGAACAAAAAGGAGCAACACAACTTAGATTCAACCATAGAAAATCCAGTGTAAAGCTTTAACTTCACTTGGTCTTTGGTTTTTGGGTACCTAAAATCTTGAAGAATAGACACTGCTTACAAATTTCGGAAACTATTGAAAAGAGTTGTGTTGACCTTTTTCTGTGGTATCACCTGACTTTGCTCTCCTCCAGCCCCATGTGCCGGTGCTCTTAATTGTGATTGATATATTGAACTTTGTACTGATAAATTTCAAAAATTCTTGAATAGTGTCATAAATGTGACTCGAGTGATATGGCTGTCTTTGTTGTGTGGGTTATTTTAAGCATATTGTTTATCAGACTTTCAAATTGTTGCAAGGCTAAAGCCCTTCTACTGGGCGGGACTCAACAAAAAGTTGGAAAGCAGTCCGTCTTTCGGAACTCCCAAATGCTTGTGGGGACTTTTTTTTTTTTTGGGTCTTGGTTGGGGATCCTCTGAAGTTTGATTTGGAGAAATGCTAGACTTTGTTTTAGATCTATGAATTCACTGACAGTTATATGATAAGGGAGTCAAGTCTTATATGACTGAGTGTATGACAAATGACACTTATCGTGTCACATCATTATGAGAAAGTTTTTTATTAGTCTCAATCATTTTTTCTTTGAACAGACGTGTATCAAAAAATTGTTTTGGCCATCCATGTGATATTATACAAGCAAAAATAATATCTAATTCTAAGTGCAAATATATCTTATTCTTTCCACCATGTTTTTGCAGAGCGTGTTTGAGGAATGACATCACTGTGTGGTCAACTCGAAATTTCTTACACCAATGCTTGGTAGCTCGAATTTTTATAGTCTGAATGTCTTAAAACGACGTCGTTTTGATACATTTGAACTATTCGGATTATACAAATTCAAGTTACCAAACATTTTTTAATTTTTTATTGTAAGAAGAGTGACACCATTGTGTATGGTTAACTTCAATTTTTTTATATTGTAAGAGAAGAGAAATGTAAACAGATATCTACAAATCTCTTTTAAAGTAATCTTTTTTTAGGAAAGTCAGCAACAACCATCGCTTAAGGGCTCAGATAAAAACAACTATTAACTTCCATTCAAAGCTTTTGGAAAGAAAAAAGATCATTAACATATTATGAATGACAAATTTGCATGAGAGGTCCCATGGTCTAGTGGTCAGGACATTGGACTCTGAATCCAGTAACCCGAGTTCAAATCTCGGTGGGACCTTTTTTTGCAACTTCTTCCGAGTGTTTTTTAGGCAAAAATTAGATGACAAATACACAAACTCGACCAAATGAAAATCCAATTCAAAAATGAGAAAAGGCTGAATGATTACAATTTACATTCCATGAGAAGAAGACCGAAGTCACAAAGATCAATTACAGATAAAAATTGTAGCTTGTTTCAACCCACAAACAAGCTCTCAAAAACCAATTTAGAACAAAACCCACCAATTGTACCCTCTCCCCTCTGACCGTTTTCCTCCTCTAACTCTTCCTCTCTCTCCACAAAAAAACAAAAGAACAAAAAATTAATAAAAAAAAAAAAGTCTCAAAACACAAACAATTTGACTTGGCTGTTCAGGGAAGCAAAATAAGTACCTCAAACTTAAAATATCAGTTTCTCTTCAGGAGGCTATGCAATTTTTGGACATTCACGAGGGTAAGAACAAAAATGGATTTGCAACGCCACATTCCCTAATTTGGAGGAGAGAGTGTACCGGGGAACCAACAAAGCAAGGCACGCAAATGGGGAGCCCCACTGTATTATTAACAAAGAATCAAGAACAATTAATCTCCCTCCTAGTCCTCATTTGGTTTCTCTACATCTTGCTCTTCAGATGGTTCCGGAAATATGTCCTTTGACTGTCGTCTAGTCGATGATGATTGATCGCCCCCGCCATTCTGACCACTTCCCTGAGACGCTGAAGTTCCCGACTGTTTGAAACTACTTGCACCTTCATGTTTGCTAGCGGGAAGCGCTGACATGGCCACTACATCTGATGAGCTGTGACGCCAGCTTCCGAAAAGAGCGGCATTCCAAGACCCTCTAGAGGAAGTCGTTCTCAACCGGGCAGAGCTAGTGTGTTCTTCCCTCACTACCTTCAATGGGTTTTCCAAAGCTTTTAGGATGTATCTCATGAGTGGTCGCCTTGAAGGCTTGGGATTGAGGCAAGATCGCGCAACTATAGCCATAGCCCATACTTCTTCTAATAAATCTTCGTCAATGATTAGAGATGGGTCTAGGATATTTGTCACGAGTTCCTTGTCGTATATACTTATACAAGGCAATGTTGCTTCCAACCACTCCTTCATGTTGGAGTCACTTGAGGCACTGAGGCCGAGCTTACCAGTTACCAGCTCCAGCAACACCTTTCCAAAGCAGTAAACATCATAGGCACATGTAGCTGTTGGTAAACCTGGTGATTTCCAAAGGAAAATAGTGAGAAACAAAGGTAAGAGTAAACTCTGCCCATGGTGCTAGCTTTAAACATAGTTCAGGTATGCGTATGTATGGTTAATTACCTTAACTAATCTAACATGAATGGAAAATCAACTAAATGATACAACCCAAATGCAAATGCAAATTCCCGTGTATATCAACTCTCAAAAAAATGATGGTCCCAAGCATCTAGTTATTCTGTGGGGTAACATGACTCAGTAGACTAGGAGGAAAAATGAAAAGGTGAGGAAACAAGAAAGCCACATTGGAAACTTTGCAGTTCTTTGCCAGAGTGCAACACTTGTGCATTTCGGTAGGAATTTGGAAAAGGAAAAGAAAAGAAGAGGGAAATGGAGAAATATAGCTTATATATTTTATTCACATTTCCCTCACTTTTTCCTTTCTCTTCACAAATCATTACTCAAATCCTAAATCCAAACACAACCTTAAGGGCCAAGATGATTTTAGAGCTTCAATATGGAAGACCACAAGACAAAATACTCGAAAACTTCCTAAAAAGCCACAATATGAACCACATAGAACACATACTCCTCAAAGCATTGATTTATACAAGACTCTGCAAACTCAACGAAAAAGTTGGTTCATGGTAGTTCTCTTGATGCTATATATCTTTAATGATATCATAACTTCAATGGTTACAAGTATGGAGACTGACTTTGTCAATGCCCAAAAGCTACATACCACTGAGTTGATATAAACTTGACCAAGCAGCCTACCTCGGCTCACTTTCAAGCTTACACTTGGAATTTGAAGATATTTAACCACTTATTTCAACAAATAATGGGATGGGATAACAAGAACCACTACGTTTGTGCATGGGAATACTTTAGAGAGCAATTTACCCAAAAAAATTGTGCCCACCTGAAGATAATAACCCACTCACGAATAGGTTAGTCAAAAAGTCAACCTGGCTTACTCCTTCCAATAGCCTCAACTCCATCCCACTATGTACAGGAAACAGAACTACTCACTTATGTCCCAAACTATCTTGGCAAAAACATTTTCGTAACCTAACTAAAAACTAAAATTAGGAGTAACAAGTTCATAGGAGATTAAGGTTGATCTTGTCATAACAAAATATACTTGAGAGAATTATATTTCTCATCTGGCGCTAGAAAATCAAAATTGATTCTTGCACTTCTCATCAGAAGGCAAAGCTTGACAATTAAATGTCTCACAGGATCAAACTTGCTTGATCCCCCATGCAAAGATGTAATCTCTCTCTCTGGATGAAGTTTTTTTATTTTTTGAGCTGGTTTTCCCTTGACAGAGATACAAGCAACTTTCATTACCAAATGCATTATTGTCCTAGAAGCAACTCAATCAATAACTAATCCTGTGGCAAGGAAGGATTTTCAACCATACAGAACAATAGCCCACACTTATTCAGGTTTGATGTTCGAGTGACAATAATTGCCAAGTGCCATATGCAGAAAGACATGCCATCTATTTTATAGTCAATAAGTGGACCTCACAAGCCAGCACTTCACTACTTCTACTCAAATATGCAAAACATATAGAAAAGCACAAAACAAAAACCAATGGGTGAAATTTAAAAACATCAGATTGTACGTACCAGAAGTGCCTTGTTCAGATGTTCTGCACAAAACCAAGAGAAGAATTTTGTTACAACCTCAAATAAGCAAATATAAATACCAAACATGGCTTTGATTTTGAAAAAGTATTTCTATTCATTTTCTTATTTGAAAAGGTAGCTAGATGCTGAACTAGTAAATAATACAACAAAAGTCTTCATTAAAAGGAACAGGCATATACAAGTTGGAGTATTGGTTGTTAATGTTAATTTGAAGAACATCAAAACTATCAATTCCACGGAAACAAAAAAGGTAGTGATGCCATTAATATGTATAATATAAAATGATGCATGTGAATCTAACAAAAAAACTTGTTTTAATTGGTAAATGAGCCATTAAACCATATCTACCATAGGGTTAATAACAGACGACTCAGTTACATGGACTCTTCTAAATGTGCGAAGTATACCCATGTCAAACACTCGACACTTTGACAAGGGTATGGGATATGTATATGACATGTCTAGTTGATCATGCAGCTATTAAAGCATGTCCAGTTATTGAGTTTACAATATGTTGGTGTCTAAAGCTCCCGTATTAAAATGTTCTACATTACGTCATAAATGCCATTTTACTCTAGAAAAGAAAATAAAATAATTAAGAAATATGAACTATGTTACATGGACTAGGGTATGCTTGTCCGATGCGGGTGCATGTCTACGGGTCAGACGCATTAAACTCCAAATTTTAGGATACACGAACTCGGTGAAAAGGGATGGATACCGGGATACGTTGTCTAAATGGATATATATATTTATATATGTAAGGTAAAATTTATTTATGATACATCATATTATATACACTGATTTGACTATTAAGTTTAACATATTGGTAATAATTTTTCTTCCACTTTCCATGCAATGGTAATCTGCCACTTTTGAGGGTTTGGCTTTGTAGTCTCTTAGTCATATAGTTTTTACGAATAATATTTTAGGAAGTTCATTTTTACTTCTTCATTTTGACTTTCGCCCCATGTTTCAGTTAGGAATAGTATTGCTAGTTATTGCTGCAAAGTTTGCTAGGGGTCTATATGGAGATCATCTTCTTCTATAAAAATGTAGGTTTCTCTGAAGCAGCATATCTCTCTTCTCAGCTCTATCTTCTTCAAGTTCCCAGTCTCTAAAAGATTTAATGGCTGAGTACCCTCATTTAGATAGTCAATCATTTAAAACCAGGTAAACCTATAGTAAAACTAATTATCACGATTTAATGGCATATCAACTCAATTCCTTTACTTATACTTAGAACAAAGTTAGGTCATTCATAAAAATTCAGTTATAATCATATTCAACTTGTTAGAGTAACATTTGAGTTAATGTTGGAACACCATGAAATGGACTTCGAATCTAGAAACGCAAGGAGAGTGCACCCACAATAAGTACAAAGTTCCATAAACTCAGACCTGAAAGAAAATGAACGATCATTACAGAACATGTAAGATTGTGTATGTTATGTAGTATCTAATACGCCTCATACAAGTGTGCCTAAACCATAGTACAATCAATAATAACTAGTTTTGGGAAAACATAAACCAAATAGATGTCACATACAGAAGATTGAAAAGATGGTCACAGTTCAAAAATCCACACAAGTAATTATAGGAATAGAATACTTACGTAGGCAACCGCAGCAGCCTGGTAATCATGCTTTGATGGGTATCCCCTTCTTGAGCACAGGCCTCACTCAGGCTTCCTAGCCGTACTTCAAATTTATCATCAAGAAGTATACTGCTGGCTTGAACATCTCTTCCATAACCAAAAAGATACATGTCATTACTTGCACCAAAAGGTAAAAATTCTTCAAAGCAAGGTAGTCAAGAATTCACGAAATGCATAGACAAAAACATTAGTTACACCTCCCTCCCTCCCTCCCTCTCAAATAGTGGAGATACAATGGCTGAATCAAACAGTTTGACAATATAGTTACACCTCCCTCCCTCCCTCCCTCCCTCTCAAAAACAAACCAAAGCAAGGACGTCATAATTAAATTAAAGGTTGATACATGAGAGCATATGCTTAAATGGTAGCACATATTGTAGTGTGACTCGGACCGTGGATAGGAACGTGACATGAACGGGACCATGGTACAAGACATACTCTAGATGTGGTACAATGGGGTTGTTTACATAAATAAAGATCATGTTATTAAGATGTAACAAGGAATTTCTGAACATAAAAGGGATTTTCTAACAATTTGACATTTAGTTACACGTACTCTAAAATGCAATTCTAGTTTTACAGTTTCTAATATCCAAATCAGTCAAGTAAAACATATTTATTTTTAAGTTGAGCAATTGAATGGCCTTTTCTGGATCTTCTCTGACCAAAACTCAACCTTTCTAGATTTTGATTCATTTTATTTGATGCTTCTTTTATAAGGAAAAACACAAAATAAATAAATACGAAAAAATTTTCGTTCAAAAGAAAAAAAAAAGGAAAAAATGTTTTATACATATGTTTTGGAATGTACATTATAATCTTGAAGATACAAGGTTTAATTTGATTAAGTTTTTCTTTCCTGTCTTGTACTATGTCATCTACAGTTTTTGCTTGAATGTCAAACAAGAAGTAAATTAATAGCCTAATGTTGCTCAGAGAACATTTATATTTCTAAAAAATTGTAATAAAAAACAAATGATTTGCTCCAAACATGACACAACATACGTTTCAAAGCTTCTCAATCAGCTTTTCTTAACCAATACTTGGCTGTCTTTTAATAATTTCCCTCTAAAAAAACATACCATGTTTATCATTAAATTCTAGCCAATCCATTATTACCAAAATGGAAAGGATAAGCAGGCAGGATACAAGAAGGGAAACACGTAATGCAGTAACTAACTTTGGAATCAAAAGGAATCTTCTGGGAAAATGTTTTTAATTTATGCTTAAGGGGACACTTATAGAGAAAAAGTAGTATGAAATGCTAGAAAAGTCGTAGGAGAAAGCAAATGTAAACTTCAGCGCTAACCAAAACAAATTTTGGTTAGACACAGATGAAAAACAGTGCTACAACCAATGATCTGTTGGTTCAGTGATAAGGAGCTTGTCCACCTCGCTCAACGCCTGGGTTCAAGTCTCCCCCATAGCGGATTATTGGGGTTACATCTACTTCTTAATGCCCAGAGTACGCTGGAACCTTAGCTTCAACTCAATGTAGGTGTGGTGTTGGTTTCGGTAGATATCTGTGGGAATTAAGGGACAATGTTCCCTGACGGATGTGTAGAGTAGCCTATTTGCACATCCATTTTTTGTACCCAAAAAAAAAAAAAAAAAACAATGCTACAGATTCTCACCCACACACGCATGCACAAAATGTTGAAAAGAAAGCAAAGGGAAACATTATGGGAAACATGTTTTTCTTACGTTCCTTGGCATTTTTGGAAACTAATTTATAATCTTCCCACAAATGTTGGAAACATTTCTAACATATTTTTTTCCCCTTGATTCAAGTTTTGTCCATCTTCTAAATCAAGCTTTTGGGGTAGCACTCTTGCCTTGTTACTTGGATTCGGTATGCATGTCAAGCGTGGTCCAATTCCTATGTGTCACATTTGTCTAATCCCTAATCTTAAGGGATCGCGGCGTGGAAAAAGTATCAATATTACCATTTTTTCTTGATCTATCTTAGATATAGAAGTTTTATATGTGCATGCAAATGCTCATTAGACGTGGATGCATGCACCCTTTCTGAACTAACACGTGATAAACACTTTTGGAAGGAAATTTAAGAAGCTTTAAGAAAGAAACGCTTTTATTTTTTGTGTGTGTGTCAAACACTTGACGTATTGTAGCAATAAATGTAAGTCTGGTCATGCCCAACATGATTGCTCTACACTTCATGAACTGTCTATGTATTGCATTGTGATGAAACCAAAGGTGGAAACTTATTTTCTTATATTCATGGCAAAGAGAAGGGTAAGATGTTTATTTTCACCATTATCCTACAACCATAATAGTCTCGGTGCAAATAACAACATCCCTTCCCTTATCCAACAATTAGTACCTTATTTAAATAACACCCTCTACATTCCTGACCAGACAATTAATACCTTATTTAACGCTCCAACATGGGATAACCCAGAATAAATGTGGCCATAAAGTAGTCTCCATTAAGTAGTATCCACTAGTTGCTTGCCTTGTGTAGGTGATGGGTGCAATGTCAATATTAACTGTAGGGATCCTGAGGGTGTGTCTAGCACGTGAATAAGTATGCAAAAGGAGTTTCAGGTCTGACAAGAGATTAAACATGGCAAAGACAACTTTTACAAGAATCGAAGTTACTGAAGTAAGAAGTTCCAATGGACTCTACAAAATAGTATGTTTTGTAAGGTGACTTAGTAAAGCTCTTGGCAAAAAGAAAATATGACACATGTGCATTATCACATGCAAATGGCCAGTATTACACCAGAACAACTGGCAAGAAACTAAGAAAATGGCAGTAATGACAAGGCGTGTAACGTAAGCAAGTCCTGTAATACCTGTGCACGAGGGGAGGATTACATTCATGATGTAGATAAGACAGTCCCTCAGCAGCTCCTATTGCAATTTTCAATCTCGTTATCCAATCCAGTGACTGCAAAGAGTCATCGTCTGAATTCGTTTTCCTGTACAAAGAATTTGACAAGTCCCCATTTGGCATATATTTGTAAACCAGAAACTTCTGGTTCTCATTCTCGTTCTCTAGGCAATGTCCCAGAAGGGGAACCAATCGGGTATGAGAAATCTTACTGAAAAAGTCTAACTCCAACATGTATGCTTCCTTCTTGACTGAGCGCAAATCAATTTTTTTGATGACTACAGGAATCCCACCTTCGAGAATTCCACGGAAGAGATCGCCTGAATGGCCATTTTTTATTAGGTTAACATCATTGAAGTTATCTGTTGCCTGGAGAATCTGCTGATATGTAAACATTTCCCCAAGACTCGAAAAGTTTAAAGACAATCCCGGAGGTGGTGGAGTTCCGGCTGCAGGAACAGGCCCCACACCAATCGCCCTTTGATTTGTTACGTCTCTCTTGCGGGTACATACAATCAGCAGTACCACCACAATTACCAAAAGTGCAATAAACCCTAGACCGCCCAAGACTCCTCCCAATATGATCCAGTGTTTGTGGCTCTTCTGTGCTGGCTTAGCTGGAGAGGGCTGAGTGGCATTCGGTAGTCCAAAATTATCAAATGTCAGTCCCCTCTGAGCATAAAATGATGCACATTCTGCAGCACTCCTCTGATTTGACGAGTTTTGGAGGCAATTCCCATCGAGGGACGCATTACCACGAGCATAATCTGGAACCCTACCCTCAAAATAATTGCTAGACAGATTGGTAATATTGAACCTCCTGAGTACCGATGTGAGAAGTCCATAAAACATATTCTGAGAAAGGTCCAATACTGCAGGAGTGACACTAGCATTAGCACTTATATTGGGTAGAGCACCAGTGAAGTTATTGTCCGAGGCATCAAGAATACGCAATTCAGGCAGTGACCACAATATGTCAGGAAGATTTCCAGTGAAATTATTGTGATTCAGCATTAGAAACTGCAACCGAGTCAAGGCAGGAAACAAGATACCTGGCAATGAACCAGCAAGTAAATTGTTCCTGATAACCATCTTCTGCAAATTCCTTAACCCTCTCAAATCCACGGGAACTGACCCAGAAAAAGAATTGAAGCTGAGATCAAGGTCAACCAAACTAGAAAGGTCACCGAGTTCAGCGGGTATCGAAGAAGAAAGACCATTATTAGACAAGTTCAAGAATTGGAGCTTGGAGAGAGTCCCAATGACCGGAGGAATTGTCCCGGACACGAAATTCGAAGACATGTCCAGTAAAGTAAGATTCCCAAGAGAGGCAAATGATGAAGGAATAGATCCAGAAAGCAAATTCTGCGAGAGATCAATAACTGAAAGACTTGACAACTGACCCAAACTAGGTGGAATTAACCCAGTAAGACCATTATTAGATAAATACAAAGCAGTAAGATTAGTCAAATTTCCGAGACTAGATGGAATAGCACCAATAATAGAACAAGACCGAAGATCAAGAACTTGGAGAGAACCGAGTCGGAGACCAAACCAGTCAGGAATTGGAGAAGGAAGCAAGAACCTAGAAGCATTAAAAGACATCAAGAGAGTGAAATTCGACAAATAATCAACAGCGAATTGGGGGTTTTGAGAACCAATTCTAGTTCTCTTAAACCCTGAAATATTGATCCCAATTACTCTACCATTCCGACATTGAACACCAACCCAGTTCGAACAAGGATCAGATTTTTTCGGCCATTCTTTGCTTCTCAACCCTAGCGACGATCTGAGTTGAATCAAAGCGAACCTCTCAGTTCGCGAACTCAACGGAACAACCAGTTGTTGAAATGTAGAGTGAAACAGAACGAAAAGAAAACCTAGAACAACAAGAACACTTCGCCGATCCACCATGGTTATACACTACCACTAACAACAACAACAACAATGTCTCACTAATCTTTGAATCTCCTTCATATTCTCACTGATTCTGAATTAAAAAACAAATAGGGGTTTCTTGATATATACATACATGCATTTCATTACTGTAGAGCTATATAAAGCTCTTACCTTAATTGGATTCTTCTTCAATCATCTTTTCTTCTTTCACTTCTGGCATATTCAAACCCCATCTCTCTCCTCTCTCTCTCTCTACAACTACTCTCTCTTTCTCTCTCTACTTCTACTACTTATTTCAGTTTCTTCAGTTGACGAAAGAAAGAGAAGATTAGGATTCGATTAAAAAATTGGTCAGAAAATTTTATTATAGTTTTAGAGAGAGAGAGAGAGAGAGAGAGAGAGAGAGGGAGTTTCTAGAGAGAGAGAAAGAGCGGTGGTGTGCGGGCTGGTCAAGAAAATAGCTATCTATCGCTCTCTTCAAAAGGACTTAAAACACAACTGCTACAGCTTTGGCTTCGACGGAAGGCGGCGACAAAAATAAATAAATAAAAAAGGGGCTTCTGTGGAGAGCAGAGTTGGGTATGTAAAAAGGTTTAGCTTATCTCTAGACCGTAATAGGATGGGAAGATATTGTTAGATTCGTATAGAGCTGTTATGAGTTTTATTTTAATAATTTAAATTGTGTTAAATATGTAAAATTTATTAATTATTATATTTTTGTGAAAAATTATATTGATCAGATATCGATAGTTATGTAATCAAATTAGATTTTTGTCAACTGTTTATTTTTTATTATCAATTTTATTTTATATAAAACTGATTTGATCACGCAGCTATCGATATTTGATTAACTTGATTTTTTACAAATATATAGTATACGATAAGTTATATACATTAAACAATTTAAATTATCAAAATAAAACTCGTGATGAGCTCTCATAAATTCAACAATACTTTTCAATCGGATCACAAACTTAAAAAAAAGCCGGACTCTATATTAAAAATGTGACATTTATATGTACGAATAAAAAGAGCTTAAATTCTAAGTCTTGGGATTCTGATCTTTGCCATTACTTTTGCCGGAAATGGAAAAGCACTTTTGAAGCGGTCTGAAACTGTGGATTTGGTTGGGTCCGAACCCGATGGGTAGTCCGATAATACCGCCCAATACAGCTCAGCTTAAACAACTACTACTGCTGTATGTAGATGTACTATTCCTCTCTCTAAATCTCACTCTCTACAGTTTTCAAATGTTTGTATGTTTTTTTAGGTTGTGTTTGGTTTTGACTAAAACAGCTGTGTGTGTTTTTTTGGCTATTTAAGTTTTTTTTTTAAAAAATATTTGTTTTAGACCAAAAATGTGAACAGTTAAAACAAAAAATTAAGGCCTCAAATAATTTTTTCACTAAGAAAAAAATTATTTTGACATTTACCAAACGTATTAACAGTTTTAGGAATAATTTTATCTTTAAAAAAGTAAAAGAGCACCAAAAAAAAAAAAAAAAAAGCACTTAAAAAGTAATTGTAGCTTTTAGTGAGTTTTATTTTTTCAATTTTTATTTTTTTAATTTTGAGTTTAGATTCTGTTCAGACTTGTGAATGGATTGGACCATTTAATTCCTCCAATGCGAATTTGTTATGTATTGTAGTAATTATTAGCTCTATTTATGATTTAGATTAATGATTAACCCACATAATTTTTAGATTAATGATTCTGTGTTTAATTTTAGGATAAACTATGAATAGGTCTTAATAGTTGGACTTAATTCTCATCAAATCCTATTGAAAAAAAGTCTTGATAAAATCATTGTTAAAAATAATTTTTTATGACAATTTTTTTATGTCACTAAAAATTGACAATTAATAATTTTTTTTGTCATAATTTTTATAAATTGTCTCTAAAACTTACAATTAATAATTTTTTTATGATATTTTTTTTAAAAGATCTGTTAAACAATAAATTTACTTATTAAGACTTACACGAAAGAACTGCCTAATTTTATGTTCGGCCCATTGCACTGAATTTATACCTCTCAACGGTTTAAGGAAAGTTACCAAGAAACTATTTAAAATTACTGTCATTTACAACTTTCCAAAAGATCTCTCTTGAAAGAGGGTTTAATGAGGAATGGTAGTTTTACTTAATGAGGTAGGTTCCCTATATGATTTTTATTTTATTTTTTTTATGGGATTTTCTTATGAAGAAAATTACATATATAATTATTATATTGTGAGAGAGTTTGATGTCAAATTTTTAATCTCTCTATGAGATGTAATGACTTTAAACAGTTAAATTAATTTAGTTGATTATCTATTATTCTTTTCAATAGCAAATTCTTTCTTCTTCTTTTTTTAATATCTTGTGAAAAAATGTAGTATTTGATGTTTTGGATCAAATATCATTTTTAAGTAATTATTAGAAGTTTTTTTCCCTATCATCTTTGTTTATTTTCTTTATAAAAAATGGTTGATAAGAAATATCTAAAAAAATAAAAAGGTAAGATGGTGATATTACACCTACATTAAAGAAAAAAAATGATAATTAATTATGTGCATTACTGGTAGGTAGGGCCAAGTATGGCATTACAATGAGTGATGAAATATGTAGGCAATGAGGCATGATGGTAGAGTATTAATGGAGCACTATGAGGTGTGGCCCAAATGAGAGAGAGAGAGAGAGGAGTATATATGTATAATGTGATGTAGGTGTTATATTCACCTAATAAATTTGACCTTCAATCAACAACTCTGGTTTATAGCTTCAATACTTCATTGGAAATTCAAGGACTTTTTTTTTTTCTTCTAAATTTTAAATAAAAAAAGAATGCATTTTATTAGAGAAAAAGATATTTTTACAAAAGAAATTATACTGTACAAAATTTGTCACAAAAATAATGTAATAGTAATATTTATGTAATTAATAATCAACTTGATGAATAATTTATTTTAAATTAACCTTACAAGTGCATTGTGGAAGACACTTGAAGATTCAGGGGTTGTTTGGAGTGTCCTAAATAAGTATACTTTTTGTCTTTTTGGACTAAAAAGTTGAGGGAAAAAATATGGATGTTTGGGTTAACTTTTTGACTTTTTATGAAAAAATGTGTATTAAAAAATTGTATAAATTAGTGTGTAGAGAAAAATTAAGATTGAGAGTTGTGCAGCCGTAATTTTTGACTTTTGATAAATAGTGATAACATTTTAACTTTTTGAGTAACTTTTTAACTTTTTAACTTTTTTTACACTTCCCAAACTTGGCCTCAAATTATTGGTTGCCAAAGACTTTTATGTTTGTAGCACACCAATTGACAAATGAAAGGACAAATACAAATAAAACAAACAAAAAATATATTTTTAAAAAATGGAGTCAAATGAAGAAAAAAATTTGTGCTAAAATTGCCTTCTTTTTTTTTTGACTTATTCTAAAGAACAAGTTGATTTTTTTGACTTGTTAATATGTAATAAATGAAAAATAATTTTTGACTTAATATTATGCTAAAAAAAACAAATAGATTGATAAAATTTATTATTGGTTTATAATGGAAAAGGAAGAAGTTCATTAAAATAAAGGGACAATTACAACTCAATGGAACTTTTAAAAAATAATTATGTAGTCATGAAAAAATTCAAAATTTTAATTATTAATATTTATAAATTTTATTATTGGTTTATAATTATTTTTTAAAAATATCACTAATTTGATATTTTCGTTAAAACAAAACAGAAAGCCTTGTTCATGAAAGGAGGTTACATTACATTGCTTAATTATTGGGTCATACTTAGTAGGGAGACCACAAAGATTGCATGGAAGGTTACATTGCTTAATTATTTGACGTATGACTGACTATTGTGAGACCAAAAAGATTTCATGAAAGCTTGGTACTTTTTTAATATACTCTTTCTTTCTTTATAACAACAAACACCCAAACACTTCGCTTGTTGGAGAAGATCTATAACCATATGATCTCCTATTTTATCATACTATACTCCATATATCCACTATTCTTTCTTCAAAACCAAGCTATATGAAATGAATGGCCCCATTTCATTACCAGTTTCGTCTTTTAACATCAATTATATAAATTTTATTGTTTAAAGAAAATATCGGATTTGGTGTAAAAAATGGATTTTTCTGTTACATTGTTTTTTCTTTTACTAAAATGTGCAGTTTGATAATTATCAATAGAAATAAACTATCATGAGAAAACTCATCTGTATATTCAAACCTTTTGAAACGATTTTCATTCTTCAAAACAGGCCTTTGCAAGAAGCCATCAATTTTTTAACAGTACAACTACTTTATCGTGTATCAATCGTCAACTTGTTTCAAGTAGACTAGCCACAATTTGGAATTTGTTTTTTTGAGTATTTTTTTTTTTTTTTTGTTTAATAAGGTGAAAAAATTAATATGACTGAGAATGACTTAAAAAGTGATTTTTTTAATACATATTTTTCTATAAAAAGTTAAAAAGTTAAACCAAATAATCATATTTTTTTCCTCAATTTTTTAATCTAAAAAATGCACTTATTTAGGACATCCCAAACAATCCCTTAATAACTTTTTGAATTAGTATGGAAAAAGACTGATATGTATGGCTTGTTTTTTTATTTAAATTTTCATTTTGCCCCTTGGTATAAAATTGAGAATATATTGGTCTTTTAGACTGATCATTGGTAGGCTTTGGGTTGCATTTTTGGGTTTTTTAAACTTTTTAACTTTTGTCTAAAAACTAAAATTACTTTTGGGAAGTGGTTAAATTAGTTAAAAAGTCAAAAAAATTATATAAAAAAGTTAAAAATTCATTCTCATTCCCTTTATTTTTTACATGTTTTTATGTAAAAAGTTAAAAAATCATTTTTTTTATCTCATATTTTAGTTAAAAAGTCAAAAAAAAAAACATTAAAAAAATCACAAGACTTATAGGGCAATTATGCAATTAGAGGGAAAAATAGAGGGTGAAAATTGCAGAAGGTTGGTTCAGGAATATTTTGAAAAGTTGATTAAAAGCTATTTTTTTAATTATTTTAATTTATTTTATCTTTTTATAAATAAATTATGTGAAAAATAATTTAACCTAAAACAAATTAAAAATTAAAAATTAATTTTTAAGGCCTTAATATCTCCCTCCACTAAGGTTTGTGAAGAGAACAGGAGACTACGGAAGAGTCAAACACTATCTATGGGCCAAATCTCACTACACTTGACTGGGATATGTTTCTCTGAGGTCGCAACAGCAATAATTAAAGAGAGCAACCAACAACCATTAACACTCACTGAAAAGGTACATATTGCCTTTGTTTTATTTATTTATTTATTTGATTTTGTTGTTTTTTTGTTTGTTGAGTCTGATTTCAAACATAATTTTCTTGAAGATGACATCTCTATGGAACTGAGAAGAATCCCAAAACAACGTGGCGACAACAACTATTAAAAGCTCTTCATTTGTTTCGTTAGGTAGATTTTTATTTATTTATTTTACGATTAATATGAGAAAAATAGGATAGAAGAGCTG